TTCTGGTAAGCAAAAATACTTACAAAGAGGCCCTGTTTTGAAGCACTAAATTCAAGTTCGATCAATAGCACTTGGCCCCACCACTTTGAAATCCGTGGCGTGGACCCTGTTCAAAAGAGTTTTTCTGAATTACCAACCTTTTTTTACCTTTTTAAATACAGTATGAAGCTAAATATTTTGCAGAGTTTCTCCTACCATTTTCAATTACTGTTGTAAGAAATTGTAGTAATAATGTTCTAAATGTTGAAATTTCTCCCTCTGTTTGTCAAAGATATGACAGACAATTCAATCAAAATATAATCTACTAAACTTTTGACTTTGATTAATTCGTTGAATGAAAATGTTTCCTAAAACGCTTGAAACAGAATTGTTTCGTAGAAAAGCAGATGTGCCAAGTGCTCTTTTTCAAAAAGGTGATTTATATCTTCAAAAATTTGTCAACAGATCATAAAAATTAAGTGCATGTTATTTTCCATACATCAGAATAACATTCCTACGTTATCAGTAAAAACCATAGCGAGGCTCTTGACCCCTTTAAAAATTCGCAGGAAAATACTTAGCTTTTGACTATGGAGAATATAAATGGAAGTTTTGTTGTAACAGATTGTTTTGTTGTAACTTACCACCAGGTTTGTTAAGGCTACTGCGGCACCATTTCAAATAGCGTGTACCAACATGGTGTATGCTCATTAGATTGGCGACTACAAATAGTTGCCTTTCAATGTCTATCCTTGTCTAAAAGTACAATTTCGAGTCAAAGCACTGCTTTGACTAGTTAATATCTGCCATTTTCCATTGAATAGTTTTCATTGTATGCTCAGATATTCAAGAATTCACTTGTTTGCCTGGTGCACTTCTTCGTTCTCAAGTCAGGATAGACATCGTGCTTGTTTCCGATATCATAACAGAAGCCTCGTTCTGGCAAATGTATTCATGACGTAGGGACGTAGGAATGTTACTCTGGTGTATGGAAAATAACATGCACCTAAAAATTAAGCATAACTATTAATTTACATTTATACAGCTAGGAGATTTAAATTAGAAAAAACTGTTTTCCAATTAAAACTTAGAACGAAAACCGAATCTATTAGAACGCTCCAAACCTAAAACGAAAAGACCCAATTGAAAATAATCCTACTCGCATAGTGCTTTAACTTATACAACTTAGAGTATTAAATCAAAATCAAGTACGGGCAGCCATTAATAAATTGTTGCTCAATATTTCCTCTATATATTCTCTGCAGAACACCTACCCCAGACAGTATATATCAGGGCCCACGCCACCGGGGGGCCGGAGGGGCCATGCCCCCCATTTTTGCGAAGCAAGTAGTTTTAAAGCTGCAGTGAAAGGGGAAAAGGCCTTAGCCCCCTACTTTTGCTAGCCTTGCTCCCCCAACTTTCGAATTCGTGGCGTAGGCCCCGTATTTAAATAACCAGTGAGTGTTTCTTTATTACCCTGGGGATCCCGGGACTAAGAAAGGAACAACAAAACACGACGAAAGACTTTTCTAGATCGTTGTGTTTAAATATTTTTCATCACCTTGTTGCTTTTTGTTCTGTAAACCAGTGGCGCGCTGGCGGTTAGCTATCTTCAAATTTTTCTTCAAAGTTTTAGAAATGTGCAGAAAAGTGCAAGAGTTCGGAAGCACGCCGATCTATATCTAAATATCTGTGGTATACTGTAAGATCTTCAAATGAGGGAAGAGGGGCTAATCAATTACTAACAGGACGCGATAAAGAATTCTCAAATAAAATGTGTTATTCTTTGTGAAACCATAAAACCAGAAGTATTTTTGAGCATATATTATCACAAACTGCACAACAATGATAATCAGGGACGTCATTATTGAGGGACGTTGAGAGTACGGAGGGGGCGGTAAGATCATTCAGGGATTTAGTGAAGGCCGTCATTATGGTTGGCAGCAAAAATGACAAAGAAGGCGTTGTAGGGAAAAATGCACATTGAAAAGTGTACATGTTTAGTCCGTTTACTTTTGCTCTGATGAAGCCCCGTATGCCGGGGCGAAATATCAGCCTTCACTAATTTACATGAATTTATTGTTGTTCATTCTCGTCGCATTGCGGGGTTCCTTATTTGCTATAGTTGTAGGGAAAGTCGGAAAATGCATCCAAATCTTTACAACATTGCTTTAGACTCGTTGAAGATCCTGGAAGTAGATACCAAGGGCGTGCCGAGGTAAGGTGTGGGCAGTGGCGTACCCAAGGGAGGGAATAGGAGTCCGGACCCCCCCCCCCACTTTTCTAAAATATGGTCCTCGAGATTTGTCCAAAAACAATGTAAAACTCATTGGGGGGGGGGTAGTATACTGTATGCTTGTGTCAATAACAATTGTAAAATACCTTGCTATTTACCGTAGCGTGGTTCAAAAAATGTTCTAGGGGCTGAGCCCCAGACCCCGCCACTACTACAGACCTGGGTACACCACTGGATGTGGTTGTGTTTTTGAGGAACCCGTGAAAATTTTGGGCTTGGCGGTAAAAGTTCAGATTAGGTGCCAGCTCATAAAAATATTGAGAGGGTGCAAGGAGTTTTAATGAAAAGAAATGCTAGGAAGAAAAAGCTGAGAGATTATGTCCCATCTCCCAATCTGATGAAAATTGTGTTCCATAACTAAAATTTTTAACAAAGACTCCAGAAAATCGATTAGAACCATTAAATAGCTTAGCCTGTGAATATTTATTGAAGAGAAAGCTTGCGCTATCAAAAAAATTGCGTCAAAAAGTTCATTTTCCAGCAAACTGGAAGCGTCAAAATTCGCCTTCGGCGGAAACCATGGTAGTGTAGTTATATCCTAGGCTTGTTCACATATATAGATCTAAAGGGTTGGAAGGTCTGATGATAATATGTAAATTGATGCTGTGAATCGACACAATGTATTGCAGAGGATGGTTTTAAATCTGGGCAAATTTGTAGTAAACCCAAACAGGCCTGCCTTACCACGGCCTTGGGTCCATATTTTGAAGAAAGCTTATAGGTATTATCCAGGATTTTCCATGAGTCTATAGCGATGTTGTAAATATTTGGATGCATTTTCCGACCATCCTTAGAACGTCTTCCTTGCAATTTTTGCCGCCAACGATGGCGACCACCTTCACTAAACTCCCGAACGATCTTACCGCCCCCCCCTACCCCCAACCTCCCTCAATAGTGACCTTCCTGATTATCATTATTGTGCAGTTTGATGATACAGCCGCTACAACGATACTCAAAATACTGTCAGGTTTTACAAAGAATTACATACTGTATTTGAAGTTTCTTTATCACGTGTAAAACTACGAAGTTTTACAGGGCAGAAAAAGTATAAATTAGCAGCAACCAACGATTACAACATAACAATTTCGTTTAATGACAACTTCGACTCGACTGGACTTACACTGAAAGAACATACGCTTTTAACAACATGAGTGACGCACACAAAGCCCTAATGACACAAATTAACGGCAAATGGACTAATAACAACTAAAATAGAGATGATACGATGACAAACAAAATGACTGACGCAAACATCGAAAGACATTCGCATTAACAATAACGAACCACAAACACGTCCTGTCAGTAATTGACTACCCGCACTCCCCTCATTTGAAGGTCTTACAGTATACCACAGATATTTAGATATAGATCGGCGTGCTTCCGAACTCTTGTACTTTTCTGCACATTTCGAATACTTTGAAGGAAAATTGGAAGATATGTGGGGCGCCATTTTGACCCTTTGCCCCCCCTGCAATCTCATCCCCAGCACGCCACTGCTGGAAAGTGGGGAGGGGGGCAAGGGAAACCTATCACCTATAGTAAAAGATTTTGAAAAGGGCTTTATTGTTTTGCAAAAGCGAGGTCCATGGCACCCCGGCCGCCCTTAGTTTTGTGAAGTCGTAATCATCATGGTATTAACGGTCCAGTTAGTTGTGGTTACAGTCAGTGGCGGATTTAAGGGCGGGCAACTAGGGGCAGTTGCCCCTCCCTTAACGAGTTGAAGCAAGTCTGGCGCCCAATTTTTTGGAAATTGTGCACCCCTTTTGAAGAATAAGAATCAGATGAAAATAAATTATTGGACCGATAGGTTAATTTGCTTCAAGGATCACCTCAAAGTTATGTTGTTTATTCTGAAAAGGTATCTGAAATTGTTGTATACAGCGTACTCTCGTAACCAATTTCTGAAAAATTTTCAGCGCCCCCACTGCCAACTGCCCCTCTTTCAAATTTGCTCTGGATCCGCCCCTGGTTACAGTTTAGGATGTTTTTGTCTTCAGCAATCAATTTTCTGTCCTTTTCTGTAATTGCAGTCAACCCGGTATGGAAAGAAAGCATCGTGAACCGGATAATCCATTCTCGCATAACTTAGGTTTATTAACTACTGCCAGGGCTGCCAAGAGAGGGGCAAATTGCCCCAGCTCAGAGCCTTGAGGTTAAAAAGGGCCTCTTCAAGTATTGAAATCCATTTGAAGAATGGAAATAATCAACGTATATGTATGCCTAAAATGATTAAACATTTTAAACAATTGTAAGAAATAACTGCAAAAAATAACCTTGAAATGTATTTTATGTTTATATAAAGGACATGGTTCTTAAATGTTTTTTTCTCGCTTTGCTCGCATGGAGCCACTTCCTTCAATGACTAAATAATGCACCCAGGCCATCAAAATCTATCTGTGGCCCTGATTATCGCTTTTTCTAAGATCTTTCATTGGTTTGTCTCATTAGCTTGTAACTTTGCTTCTAATTCGACCAAAGTCTGGAAGTTTGTAAAATGATTTGCATTGTATGTATCTGTTTTGTTGTATTTTTTATTGTATTGTTGTATTGTTCAGTTAGTTAGACTGTATGCATGCAAAAATTGGTGCACACCTCATGAGGGTACCTGGTGCACAACTGCAATGAAAAATTGTGTCGTCTGCTGCACAGGAAACCAGTCAACTAAGAAAGCTGACCTTGGAAAAGCTATGACGTCACGATATACATATCTAAATTTTTTTCTAAAGGGAAGTAAGGTGAATGAGAACAGAGAACAATGAAACGTTTACTATCCTTTTGACCTATTTCCTGAATTTTTAGAGTTCAGCAAAAACCTCGATATTTCATGCATCCTCACCTTTACCTGGCTTTCGACCGAACATTTTGCCACTAAATACATCGGTTGTTACTTGTTGTGGACTGTCTTAATCAGCTTGTCGAATATGAATTTCAGTCTTCTACGATGCTTTTATGGCTGCCCTTTGTATCAAAGTACTTTTTGTGTACAAGCTGATGCCAAAATTTAAAATACTGCAAAGTATAAAATTTTCAATCTTTTCATATTTTTAAAAATCTAAACTGATCTTTGGACAGCACGAACTTCTCGAAACAACACAAGCGCGCCATTTTCCACACAAGAACATTTGTGGTTGTATGCGGCCTTTTGACAGAGCATGGATCTTTCGAAGGACAAGGACAACATGGATTTTGGCCATTCAGACGAGCTTTTTGCGTCAAAAAATAGACAGGCAGTAGAAGAAAAAGTGCCTTGGCAAGATGTAGAACCTGTTTGTGTTACTAGTGAAGAATTCAGAGACATCTTTGGGGATTCGTCCGACGAGGTAATAGATCTAGGCCCTAGGCCAGTTGCCTAGGCCATGTAACACCTTTTCATTTGTCTTTTTAAAAAGTTGCCTACTTTTATCAAATTGAAGTTTGTGCATGATAATTCAGCTGTAGATAAAAGTTCAAAAATATTGTAGACCACGATTAGAAACATTATATCGATATACTTCTTAAAATCGGTAGGCCTAAATGGCGAATCGATTGACAATTTGGATATTGGCCTATTCAGCTATGTTTTTTCTTGGGTTTGGTAAGCAACTATTATTTCTAACACAGCTTGACTGGGTTATCTATTAACAAATTCAGTACATTTAAGACATATTCCATCGATATCAATGGAGAAGATGTACTGAACGAACCTAGTTTTGACCTGTAATCTAACTTTTATTCGAGGAGGTAGGATAGGAAATGTGTTGACACAGATACTAGGACGTTTTTATTGCTGTACTATCTTAAGAAAGAATGATGATATTCCTTTATCGATTATGTGAAAGCATCTATTTGAATTTCTTTGAAAATATATAATAGCCAAAACATATCATTTGTACCCTATTATTAAAACATTGTAGAGGGAAACTTTGTTTACTTTTTACTACTGGGTCTGTTTTGAAAACTCGAAGTCTTTATCTTGATTCCTTATTATTATTTAATCCAGAATTTATAAATATGGGCTAGTCTATAAGACCTATCTACTTAATATGCACCCTAGTTCCCTTGCCCAAAACTTGTCAATCGAAAATAAAGAAATAGGGAAGAATTGACAGTACCCCAAAAGAAACAGATGAATTAAGTTGAATTCAAATTTTCACTAAATTTACTATGAGTATATAAAAATTCTAAACAAGATTAAAGTATTATTACATTGTGTTTTGAATCACTCATATGTTAATGAGAGGATCTAGCCTAGCTACTTACAAAGGATAAGAGGACAAAAAAACCTCCATATATCAAAGCTGACAAGTTAATCCACTGAGAAATTTTTTATTACCATAGAGTTTCTCAGAATATTTTAAAGCTTTATAAATGCCAGAAACAGAGAATTGTTTCTATAAGGCCTGCAATTCACAGGTGGCAGTATTGTCAGATGGAATGCTAGACTGACAACCCATGCCCACCAAAGTATTGAGTTGAAATCATACTGCTTATTTTTTATATTTCTGGCTCTTAATACTCCATGATTAAATAGGTGTAACAAACAGAATTATTGCTTTGGGGGCAATTACCCCCTAGCTGTTATATATACTAAAAAGGTCCTGGTTTAATATATATATATGTTAAAATATATGACCAAAGGTGACACAAGCTAAGGTGACCAAAGATCACCATATTATTTATTATATTTGATTTCAAAGGTTAAATGCTTATAAGGAATCTAGGCAAATCACATTTTATTGGTTCCATTCTCTTCCATGTTCTGTTAAACAAATTGTTTAAACGCTCCAAATCTTTCTTCCTTGAACTTGATTATACAGCTTTTTGAATATATATGATATCTAAAATTTCCAAATAAGTGCTTTTCTTCTTTGTATAACACCCCTTGCTCAATAATTGCCTTGGGTCAAGGTCTATTGTTTGTCATTTGTGGTATACACAGACCTTTTTACCAACCATAATATCTGTATATTCAATGTAGGTCTTCATCTTTATAGCAATCAGTATCTTAAAACAATCTTCTCTTCTTCTGCAAAATCTTTTGATTGCATTTGAGATTTGTCATTTGCTGCCAAATAGAGCATAAACCCTCTATGTAGCATATTAAGACAGAAGTCTGTGTTTTGCATTTAGGCCCCCTTTCTGTGTGCAAACAAAGTCAATTTGGCATACATGTATAGATAGTTAGCTGTTTGATTACAGGAGCATCTTAGATTTCCAATCCAGATATGGTATCTGATCTGTGTGTTTATGCTCCCAATACTATGAAGAATACTCAGGTTTCCCAAATCATCCAATCAACTTATTTCCAGTGTTAGTTTTCATATGGTGGAAATTTTCCAATTACATTCTGTATTTATCATTAACTTTTATTGTATTGAGAAATCAGCCTGTCTTGTTAGTTTTCTCAGTCAATGAGAACACAGAAGTTTAGTAGTTTCTTTTGCAATTCTGACTATTTAGGCTGGCTTTCAACCTTGGAAAGTCATAAAGAGACTCCCTCCCAATTGCTCCTTTGTGTCACAAGAATGTTATGTTTTTGAATAATCCAAATTCATTACCAGCATCTGCCATCAATTTCTTAAAGTATGCACCATTTTCTACAATGCCTTTGTAAAAGGTTGTTTTCTTTTTATGTTGCTTCCACCATCTTTAAACCACCCTATTGTTATTTGTTACTAGCTTTCTCTTTTGTGGAATAAGGAAACTCGAGTGGCCCCTGGCAATAGTTATATCAACAACTCAAAATACTTTAGGTTAAAAGTGGTAGCTATGGTCTGGCAAAGCTAGCCAAAAATAGTTGGCCCTGCTGTATGGACAGGGCCATGCCCCTATTCAATAGGAAACACCCATGAAAAAAATTCTTTTTTGCAGATGAATTTTTTCTTAAATTCAGTAAAAAGCAAATTTTACAAACTCATACTTAAAGGGGTTCTTTAAGGTGCTTACTTTTCAAACAAATCTTTGTTAAATTGTAGTAAGGCTCTACAGCTGAAGTAAAAGTTCAAATTGGTGTTAACTAAATTTGACAATAAAAAAGGGCAGGGCTGACATTTGAAGTTGCATATCATATATTTGTGGTAGTTGAAATAGTCCAATTAGACTATTCCAGATGTTGGTCTTATAAATCTGATAAATCTAGATACATAATTCCGCTGGTTTTTTCTCCAACTCCAAAATTTCAATCACTCACCAGGTCTAAGAAAATCTTACTTATTTAGGCCACCATGATACACCATGCCTCATACAAAGGCCGAGATCAGTGTGACTCATACAGCCAAACCTTGTTGGTTACCATTTCTTTCTTGCGAACTTCGGACTCTATCTTTATGCAGCTCAATTGAGGCAAGTTTTGCTGTCAATAATAATAACATTGATATCACCCAAGCAAGCAGGAAATCCACATTCACATCGCCTCACCATAATACTTGAACTGGCCTCCTTGCTAGCTTACTCTCATTTTAGTGTCTCTAAACAGAACGAGAATACCCTGGACAGTCCTCGCAGTCCTGGTCTCAGAAAAAGCAGGACCAAAGGTTTTCAAAAAGGGCTCTTTGGCCTACATAGGTGAACCCTCTAACCAATCAAATCACAAATGCTTATGACATGTTATGATGATCATTGAGCAGGACTGCTCTTTGTTCTAGACTATCGTGAAGCAGGACTAAATTTACAAAAGCCCATTGTGAAGCAGGACCGAACAAGGGCATCATGTTATGAGCAGGACCAGAATACACAGTTGCCATAGGAAAGAACAGGACTTGTGATTAGCACGGGATGCCTTTATTAGCTGGCGGAACTGGGGACTGTTTATCAATTAGAACTTGAAACTTGAACTTATTGTTTACAGTAAATCTTATCTTTGGGAATTCTTGGTCCTGCTCAGCACGACCAGCAGGACCTTTGGCTTCGCCACTGACTATGGTGTTGATCATCCCAGTTCAGTTTAGTTCAGTTAATTTCATTTTAAATTCACCTACTTACAAAGACTCTAAAATTAAACATACTTTACTACAACTTTAATAACTACATAAGACAATACACACAAATTTAAGGAAAGATACATGACATTAGAGGATTTGTATGAAGTGGAATTTTTAAGGAGTAACTCTCTCAATAGCAAAGCTAATCGAGGAGAGAGCACCCCTTAATATATTTTTATTCCCACCATCCAGATATATTTTTATTTTATCTTTGAAAGCATATAGATTAAGTTGTACATGAATGATTTTTTATGGGAGACAGTAATATGAGATTGTGAAATCTTTTGTATGGTAAGTTGACATTATCCACCCCATATTTCAAATATCACTTGAAACCACATCCAATCATAACTATGTATGTATTTTCTAAAGGTGTTCTTTTAAAGATTGCATTATACACTCTCTAAAGGATGGCATTATTGTGCCTCTTTGCCTCCATGTTGAATTTAGCCGCTATTTTTACAATTTTGGTAAGTGAGTCTGTATGCAATGGTGTTTTCCAGCAAAATCATTTTTATGTGTTTTATCAGTTGTATAACTTTATTCAAAATAACTTTTCATTTCAAGTTTAGCAAAATTATATAACAGTGTCATATTTGCCGCTGTAGCTGTTTGCATCATTTGTATTTTGAGGTTTTGTTGGTTGTGACTAATTCTTATTTCCATTTTCTTTAATATTTCCATTGCATAGAACTGTGTTGTAGCCTTTTTTGTTTAGTTGTTTAGCAAACCATCGGTTTAGCAAAATTCACAAACATGTATACATTTTTCTCTGCTTACTCTGTTTGGAAACCTGAACTGCAGTGCTGGATTCATTTGTTAAATAAACACATTGCATTTTAGTCTTAGCCTTCCTTATTTTATAGTGGTAATGTTTTATGTTCCTCAGAGAATGCGATAATTGTTTGCAAGCGTATTATGCAATCTTATTTGTTTGCAAACTTGTATAAGTGGCTTTAAATCTTGAAGATAATATTTGAATTTTGTTTGTTTTTGTTTCTATCTGTGTTTCAGTCAATATTCTAATTTTAATTATTCATTACTGAGTATTATAATTTGGTTTTGCCTATAATTTAATTTGGTTTTCATGATTCACAATTTTTGTGAGCTAACATATTATTTCCCCTCTCTTTTTTCTTGTAGGAAACTGAATTTTACGGGTTTTCTGAAAGGGAACTAGGACTTAAAGAATTCAGAAGCGTTATGTCTCCCAATAAACTGAAATTCCAGGACGACTTTTATATGCCATTATTTTTATCACATCGAAGAAGAAATCGTGACCTGGTTCTAGAAAAGGCTGGCAAACTTGAAAAAGAAACGAGAAAATCACTAGATGCTTTAACGAGTGACAACAAATGTGAAGTCGGAAAGAAGAAGAAGACAGTTGATTGCATCAAAAAAGTTCAAGAAGAATTCAATTTTATGGAGCTGGATAACCCCTATGCAAAGACATATAAATCGTACAGAAGAGACAGAAGCAGGTCTTTTCCACTGCCAGTTCCTAAAAGCGAGTTGAAACTGGAAAATAAAGAGCAGACGGAAACTAAAGTTCCTGTACGGTGTCAGTTGACTGATGAAATGGGGATTGCCTCGAAGCATTGCAGTGATGCAGCAGAATTGGCAGTCGAGAAGAAAGACAATCAATGTACAAAGACAGCAGAGAGCCAAGTAGGCCTGAAAATGAAAATTCATTACCAAAGCCATGTTAGGCCAAAACGGAAAGTGATCGTGCAGGAAAGGGATGATTTTGTTTATAGTATCACCCTACCCAGCAAAAAGAGAGCGCGAACTCTGTCACCGACTGTCATAACAAGTGCAAAAATACTTCAAAGGGGTCCGATAGCTGACGAGGTTTATCCCATGCAAGAAAAGGCTCCACTAGAAGGTAATCTGTTCATTTCAAGTCTACACGTTGCCCTGTCACTTACTAGCAAATTTCTAGCCTGTACTTGGGATATATTAAAAACGTGTAAACAGATTCCGTATCGGCAGGAAGGTTCTAAAAATTGAAATTTATGTATCGTCGATTTTGTAAATGTTTTGTAGTCTTCATGTCACTGTTTTTTGCACATTCTTGTTTTGCAGTTAATTTATAAGTTACATTTTTCTTCATCTCGCTTTTTATGTGTCATTTTGTTTTATTACTAACACCTTACTTACAATTTCCTTTCTTTTAAAAGCAGCCAGAGAAGATGTGACAGAGCTCGAAACCTCAGTATGTATTGCTTAACACATCTTATTTATATTTTTCATGCAAAAGTCAGTGGTTTAAATGTCACTATAAATTGTAAATTGCAAAATTCTAGAAAGTTGCAAAAATTGAAAACCGCATTGTTTACTGTTTGTACTTAAAAGTTTTATGTTTGACACATCAATGATAATTTTTAAGTTATATATGAATTAAGCTTCATTTTTATGTTCTTCTGAATCTATAAACTTTAGTTTTTCATCTATTCAAGTTCACGCTGCAGCCTGATGCTTCGAAAGATCTTTCTAATGACGCTCTAAAAGAAGTAATAGATAAATCAAATACCGGACAGGAAACAAGCTTCCAGCAAGAATTAGAAGTTGAACACGACATAATAGTTCATCCTGAATCAGACTTTGGGAAAGTTCATCAAGACTCGCACTTTAAACAAGACTCGGAACATACTGGGCAAAAATCAAGTATTGAACAAGCTTCTAAAATCGATCAAGATTCAGATATCAGGCAAGAGTCGAATATTGGCCAAACCCCTAAAGTTGGTCAGGACTCAAATATTGGCCAAACCTCTAAACTTGATAAAGACTCCATGACCGGTCAAGATTCAAAAGTCGATGGGCCTCTCAATGTTTCAAAAGTGATAAACACTGAACCTAGGCCCAAAAGGAAGAAACGTTTTAAAAACTTCAGAGATCCCAATGAAGGCTACCAGCGAGCTGTTTTAAGTGACATTTTCCAAGAAGCTGTACCGGGAGACAGCGTTACTGAGCCAGCTTGTACGTTATCGGTAGACGCAACGAAGACAGAAAACTCTATCGCTGAATTTGAAGACAAAGTTGAAGAAACAGCGATGAAAAGCCCCTTAGAAACAAGCAATGAAAAGGATGTTGATCTAAGGAAAGGGAAGGATAGTTTGTCTTGCCCAAAGGTGCATGAACATGAACAAACTAAAAGAACTAAGGAAAATAACGACAAAAGGCCTAAAAGACAGTCGAGATACAGAGACTCCTTAGGTGAGACCACTGTGAAACCAAAAGATTTCAATTTAACTGACAGTTGGTTCATAGTTAACCCAACGCCTAGCAAGAGACGCTCGAGTACCACAAGAACTCCAATTGTTCCAAAATCTGAAAATTCTCAAAGCAAAATAAAGGATGAATCTGCTGTCGATGCAACTGTAGAACAGAAGTCCATTCACCAGGCACCATCTGTAGGTAAATTTGTTTCTGTAGAAGGAAGTAAGTCTGTAACAAGAAAACGAAGGTTGAAGAATGTGACTTACTCGTCTGTTGTTGATTTGACATCAAATGTTGGAGATACTGCGCATTTAGGTGTCATGCAGCCAGAACAGAGAGCCTCCCTGAGCAACACTAAATCAACTGGCGCAGTTGAAAAAGATGACACTTCTGTGGATATTAACGATATGTCTAATGACAAAGAGACATGCTCTGGCAATAAAGATAATAATGTATTTTCGAAGTTTTCAGACCGTCGAAAAGGTAGTTTAAGGAAATCTTGCTCTGAAGCAGAAAACAAGGAACAAGGTAAAATTGAGAAATCTGCTGAAGAAAGTTCCAAAGAAAATGTTAAAGATGCAGAATTGTTACTGTCTTCTAGCAGTTTTATAAAAGAACAGGAAAGCGTTGCTGAAAAGGTTCAAAGAGGTAAAATTGAAGACAATGTCTCAAAAGTTGAGCGTTCTTGTAAAGCTGAAAATAAGACAAAGTCAAAAAGCATTGACGCTGTGGGCCAGATTTCTACTGAGGCGGGTAATGATGACAACCTTGTGAAAGAAATGCCCCGGACAAAGGTTTTGCGAAGCTCTTTGGCAAGTAAAAGAATGAAGAATAGAAGTCGAACTAGCGAAAAACAGATAATCACTGTTGAAATCAGCGATGATGTCGGCGAATCAAGTGCTTGTATAAAATGCGATATCGATGGAGAAATCGAGTCTTTAGCGGGCACAAACGCCCAAACATCAAGTTCTAAAAAAGAGACAATTGTCGATTCACAGGGAAAACTCGGTGAAGATAACATCCGCGATAGTCAAATAGAAAAAAAATCTTATAGTGATGCGGATACATCTGTTGGAATAGAAGAGCTGAAAAGCAAAGAAAGTGAGGCGTCAATGCAAGTGACACTTGAAAGTAATCGAACTGATAATGACTCCACGCCAGAAGTTACTTTTTCAAAACCACTTGCTATGATTGAGGGAAAGAAATTTGCGCATCCTTATCTATCTACCGATGAAGACAGTGAAAAAGCTGAGTGTAAAGATGAGAGTGTTGTACCACGAAATGAGGAGAATGTAAAGGAAAATACACAAGCAGCTGACAGTGGGTCTGGTGAAGGGTCTGAGGAAGGGTCTGGTGAAGGGCTTGGAGAAGGGCCATATGACGGATCACTTGAGGGGAACATGCAGGAAGATATGAAAAAAGATGATCGTAAGGTGAACAGGCGATTTCCAAATGCGGTGGATAAGGACATCAAAAAAGTTAGATCGGGGAAAAGTTTTATTATAAAAACACCAGTAGATGATTCTGAAAAACAGGTTTCCTTGAAGGCTGGTAAATTGTCGACACGACGCAATTCTCATGGAGAGTTAAATGAAGATTCAGATGCAGATCTTGATCTTGTTGCAACCGATGCGAACGATGATGATGATTTCAAAGACAACAAAGTTAAGCGGAAGGTTTATACTGTCGTGCGCAAGATTAGGAGAACTGAGATAAATGCCGAAGGTAAAAAGGTAACCAAGATTATTCGGCAGGTCGTGAAAAAAGTTTGCCCTGTAAACGCTGACCCTTTCGGCAAAAAAGTTGTTGGCAAGTCTACAGAAACTTCTGAAGCAAAGGACCAAGAAGCAGTTAACAATAAAGGTCGGGACCCCAAGCATCGCAATGCAAAGGACAAAGGTGAAACCGGGAAAATGACTTCAGAGTCAGAAAATGATAAGGATTCTGAAAATTCTTCCAAGGCCAAAGGTGAGCGGAAAGTTCCTAGAAGCCATTCCGGAAATAAGGCATTGAGGTGTGGAAAGTGTCCGGCATGCGTCCGAAAAACAGATTGTCGTGAATGTGAGAACTGCAGGTATGTTTCGCACGTCAAAGTTGTTTATGATGCTAATCAGGGGTTCGCAACAGACAACGGACACTGAAACTTTTTTTCTAGGGAACCTACTGTAGTCTCCAATTGTCATTTCGTCTGCCATTATGGTCACATGGTTTTCGTATTTTTCTGCATTTTCCTTATACCTTGTAAACAAATTGTCGGACAGGAAATGCCAAAAGAGTCCAATGGTCAACAGCAAGATCATAGCAACCGTATAAACGTGTAGTTTTAAATCTAATATACATCTTTCAATGTTCGCTTTTTCAGATCGAAAGATTACCTGCAGTATTTCTTCTCGTATTCTCAGTAAAAGCACAATGATTGTATTTGTAATCCTTGATTTTTTAGCAGTTACTAAGGACTTTAAATTCACGAATTTGTTCAATTACATCATTGCAGGAAAAAGATAGCAAGCTTTCCGAAGAAACTCAACATAATTTGCAAGTATGTACTTATTGTTATTGATAGTCAAGTAAGTTTCATTCTTGAGTCATTTACGTTATAGAAATGCATTCGAGGTCTTATTATGATGAATTTCATTTGTCTTGCTTTTTCAGAATGAAACAATGTCGGGAAAAAGTTGACAAAACACAAGCTGAAGCTTCAAAATCAGTGTCTTCAAAATCAGTGCCTTCAAAAGGTTGGATTTTCGTGTAGAATCCTTTGAGTCTAGATTGAGTTGCCTTTCTATGCAGTTTCCTTATGATCGCGCAAAGTGTGAAAATTGCGATAGTAACATAGGAATGTTTATCAAAGCAAGGAACAGTGAACCGCTTTTCAATACTGATCTAAAGAAAGCAAGCAATGAATCGATTGCTATTCATTTTGGGGCAGTAGTGTGACTGTCAATGTCCTTGAGCTATAGTTGCTCTCCAAGGAGCCATTTTTGGACCTTTCATATTCAGTTGACTAAAGTTTTCCAGGAAAAAAGTATTTCAGGAAAAAAATCTTTAATTCTAAACTTTGAACCCATATGAAATTCGCGCCGGGCTCCCATAACTTTCTTTCCGTCTAATGTTCGTGTGTTATTCATTTCTTTTAAGAAGCTGTTGTAAATATGCGTGGTTTTGCTTTTTTGTATTATGGCTGTGGCGTTGTTCTGGCTATTTGTTTCCAAGAGTATCGTTTCGTTGTATTTGTAAAATAGCTTGCAGACATGTTAGAGGTAATTCGATTTTTAGAAATGTTTTAGAAGGTAGAAGAAATATCATTAAATAACCAGGCTGTATCTGCCTTTCAGTTGTCCGGCTTTCAGTCGTAATACATATTGCAATGCAAACTTAAGCTGATCAATTCTAGCGATGTTAATAGTTGTATATTTTGTGGTTTCAGACGAAACTCGACCTGTGAAGAAAAAGACGAGTGTAGTTCATGAAAGAAAGGAAATGACAGTGAAATCTTTGGCCAATAAGAAACCGAACGAAGCCAAAAAGGGTTCTCATGCGTCAACATCTGCCCCCGAAAAATCGGTACCAGATAAACCGAAGCCCAAGTCAAAAAGTAGTCGGGCCGGAGCAAAAACTGGGGATTCAGGTGATATCGTTTACTCGCCGGGTTTTAAACTGCGAAGCCAAAAGTCAACAGAAGTCCAAGCAAAACCAAACCGCATTTTGAAAGAAGTGCAGTACAGTGGCATGCAGCCAACGGTGAAGCTTCCGTGGCCAGTGAGTATTTTTCTATTTTAATTTGTTCGTTTAGTGCCCCTTTAAAGTGTCTTGCTTTTGATAATTTCCCCGATGATAGAAAGTATTAAAATTAAAACCAGTTTAAAGATGTTATGATCGATTCTCAACAGGTGCTTCTTGCGCCTTGCAAGGAATGTTAAAAGGAAGGCAAAGTGACATTATTTTATAAGATGAGAATCTACTTGATGAGAATCAAGAAAAGGCTACAAAGAGAAGGATGTTGTCGCTCTCTTTTCGAACACAAAAGCCGGACAAATCGTTAACGGCTTTTTATAAATGATATGTTCCTTCTACCGTTTCTCAAACGAAATTGCAAATCAAAGCGGAAACAAATTTTTACTTCCTTGTTGTTTTTTCCTCTAGGAAGAGCAAGACGAGCAGAGTGTCTGCAATTCTGGGAATTTCTTTTGCGTCACAACCCCCATCACAATAGCAACTAAAGATATATGCTTTCATTGTGGAAGTGGTGGCTTTCAGAAGGTAATTCTACTTTCAATGTTGTGACTTTATTTTGGTCAATAAAGCGGAAATATTGGCGTGATTATTTGGTATGATTAGGTTTTCTTTTATAATTTGGAAGAATTTCTGGAAATAATAAGAAAAAAGACGATAAGATGAGTTAGGGAAACGATAAGTTAGGCAGTTTCACCCAACTTCAATCGTTATATTGGAATTAGATAATTGTCAATATCTGTCTTTACATTATTTTGATAAAACTATCGAAATTTAGAAAAAAGTGAAAATTGTAAAAAAGTTGTTCTTTTTATCAACGACAATTAAAAAACATTGTATCTTCTTAGAACGACTAGGAGGCCATTCCATTTCTCCTCGGGAAAAAAGTCTTATTTGCCCTTAAGCTGACTTTCTTCGACAACCTAAAATCGGTTTATACAGGCCTTGGTGTGATACTTTTATTTGTTATGATAGCAATGATACTTAAATATTAGGAAAAGACTTTAAGATTTTAAGTTCTTGGAAGAAAAAGTCGGTTAATGAATATTTTTGTATATTTAGAACTTGCACCGGTACATGGCTATGTACTAAAATGTCCAAGTGTCACAGCTATTGTACTTCTTTATATTTTTGTGCAGATGGTAACATGCATCGGCTGCAGCGAGGCATACCACGAGTTCTGCATTGAAATCGATCCTCTTGATGAGAACCGTTGGTTCTGCGATCGATGCAAACGTTGCAATGTCTGTGGCTACAAAGACAACTTGCTGATGTGCGATAAATGCCACGACTGCTACCACGCAGAATGCCTCGGTCCCAATTATCACAAACAAACAGAGGGCGTTGATGATTTGTGGGTTAGTATTTTGCTCCTTCCACGATTTCTCTAGTATGTTCCTCACAAAATTGGTTCCAATTTTCTACAGCAAATGCTATCAAACTGAGATAAAGATCTAGCAACGTATTTTTAAAGAAGCCACGTAGAATGTTTTTTTATATGTTGGATGCCCTTGCCACTTTACGCTTGAAGCTTCATTAGCTCTGGTACTTGTTTGTGCCCTGGGCCTCTCTCACACAAGTGACCAAAGGCCTTTTTCCTTTTAAACCTTTCTGTTCTTATCAAGCTTTTACTGTCGTATCTCATTAGATAATTCCATGTCAGCCCCATTAGCTTTATAGCATTGAACATGCCCTTGTTCTTGCGAATGGTCACCTCCCATTGTCTCATTTAGCAGAAAGAAAAGCAACATTGTATATCACGTTAAATGAGTGCTCCTGTAGAATTATTATCTTTCGAATATTTTTTTTATTTCGTTTATGCACGTTGTCCTAATAATGATGTTATCTAATGAATGATCTGAATTCGTTACATTTATTCAAACCTATTCTTTTTCTTACCCTAATGAGGTCCTTTGTCGACGATAAGAAGAATATGATAGCAGAGAATCAGTTGCTTAAGAGTCTTGAATGAAGTTAGGAAACTTTTTATCCCATGTTAATGTCACTTCCCTTTACTGTTGTTCCATCTTATTGCTGTTGTTCATTAATCAAGTTATAAGATATAACGTCTGCTAATGTTTTTTGATCTCTCGCATCACAGAGTTCAATATAAAACGGTATTTATTTTTGTACAGCTTTGCGCAAAATGTGTCAAATGCGAAAAGTGTGGCACCAAAATACCTGGAAAGGTTTGTAACATTTGATTATAAAGTTTGCATCTTGTGATTAACGTCTTGCTAAAATCTTTGAAACATGACAAGAAAAACAGATAATCTGTATATACTTTTACCACCTAACTGCTAGATCTTCCCCATTTCTATCTGTTCTCATATATGACCTTTTTTTGATATATCTTCAGTATAAAAACTTACAACAACAAATTACCTAAAACAGTACGTACGAACTACTAAACTACATTACAAGGACGGAACCCAGGAGGAGCAATATAACATGACTTTCAGAAAATTGCCTTGAAGAGACTAACGAGAGATGACATTCAGAAAATTGCCTTGAAGAAAATGGTATATACATCACCCCGCACCTTGCGAAAAATACAAGCATTAAAAAAGCAAGTGAAAAACGGCCCCTTGCGGTCCATACCATAAGTCCAGGTTTTTCACTACTCGGTCTACTTTTCTTAGATTTTGTTATTATCGGATTAAGGCTCTTTCATTACTCTCTCTAATCTTACGTCGATATTTCAAAATCAAATTTCGGCCATCTTGAATGATAATCCAGGTCACAGTATACCTGGCTGGTTGTGATGATCTGATAAAATAAAACTATCCTTTTTATTTTTTCTGAAGTTTTATTGCTTGTTATTTTTCCACAGCGCAAAGATTCGAAGTGGATGAGAAACTTCACTTTGTGTGAAGAATGTGATCGAAGAATGCGTCGTGGTCAGTTCTGCTCGATCTGTGAGAATGTCTATTCAGAAAACGACTATGATACGAAAATGATGTATTGCTCAAACTGCGGCAAATGGATCCACATGGAATGCGAAGGCCTTAATGCCGATGAATACGAGTGCCTCGCTGAGTTACCTGAAGAGGTTCCTTATATTTGTAAATTGTGTCATAGCTCTGAAGTTTGGCCTAAATGGTACCAAGAAGTTCGTGAAGAAATGCAAGCTGGTTTTGAGAAGGTAAGACTCCTCCTGTTTTATTCTGATTTATGTCAAATTCTAATGTAACATAACATATTAGCGTAACAAGTATCAGGGGGGATGGACTTGGTGAGAGAAGATGTCTGCGTATGTTGCAAATCTGTCCCTGTATGATGCTAATGTAAGGAATTTTTGTAACAGAGCTGCAAATACGCAACTATGTTCCCAGATTATTCTCAGAAAAATTCTATCTAAAATAAATATATATTTTACCAGCTAAATCTAAAATTGAGCTAGTTAAATATAAAATTGAGCTAGTTAAATCTAAACTTGAGCTCGTTGTAAGAAAAAATGAACATTTCTTTAGAATACCTTCCATAATGTAAGAGAAAAATCTTTCAGGTTGCAAATAAAAACCAGATTGAGAATAACCAATGAATACTTTGTTTTGAATTTTGTGGACTGTTTATTGCAATATTTTTATTCAGCAGAAAATTTTTCTCTCATTTACGAAGTTCCTAGAAAGAAAATTATTTTTGCAGCTATACCTTGTTTAAGTATATATAAACTATGATTCGACAGAAGGGTAATCATGTAAGGTTTCAATTGCATTCATCTGCCCAAATAGTTAACCTCTGCTTGAACAGCTGCTTTTGTTTTCTCAGGTCTACTATGAATTGGTAGCTTCAAGCGATTACAAGATCGTAAGCAAACATCTTCCAGAGGTGAGGCTACCTTTTAATCATACATTAAAATTTTTTTGAATCTGAATGCTAACATCAAACTACATTACCACATCAATGAGGCCCGCTGTCTGCAACCTTCTGTCGGTACTCTACACTCTGTGTAATTTGCTGTGGATTCCTGTACAAAAGAATTTTTAGCGTTTCCAGCTACTTAATTTTTTTATTTTATTTAGGGAACAAAGTATCTTCAAAAAAGCACGACCTTAAAAGTATTTGGGCATGCTACGCTTGATTGATATTGTTGCTAACACAATTTGATGATTAGGTATATTCAACGATAAGCATATATTAGAAATATGTTCTTTAAACTTGAGGCATTTTCCCAATTTTACCCTTATTGTGATACCTTAAGCTATGACCAGGTATAATTATTTATTTTATGATTATTACGAAGTAAGAATCCCTGTTTTGTTTTAATGATCCAGTTAAAGTCGTATGTTCACACTTCTGGTTTTAGTTAAAATTTGTTGTTTATTTTTCTTTAAGTTCAAAGAAAGTGACGCAAAGAATATGCTCGACAACATTTTTGAAAAAGTTCAACGTCATGAAATGCCTAAAGTTGTGAGTTTTTCAAAGCCCTGTGTATTTATAATTTTTAATTGTTGGTTACAGTTGTTTCTGTTGTTTTTGTATTAGTTTCTGCCTGTTTCTTTCTAAATCTTTCTCTTTCGCAATTTATATCTGATGATATGATGATACTCAGTATCCCGCAAATTGTTATAAACATCAGAATTTGCGGAATTGTCATTCATCAAGACCTTGAATTACCGTAATCTACCAAACAGTATAGCTCAATTCAAGCCTATGTTAGTGAATTAACATCCCGCAGCTTACAAATCATCAGTTTAGCATACCATCATCTCGAGCAGTTATTTGAAAAAAATAATGAAATATCTTAGCTGCGTCATCCAAATAAAGACAATAAGCGAGTAAACGAATTAAGTACCAAAATGAAGTTAAAAACGATGTTTCGAGCAATAACGAGTTACTCGTTACGTTGTAGTGATTTGAAAGCACGATTTAAAAAGCTTGTTTACAACAAAATTTACTTTCTCCTTTTTTTTCGTAAAGGTTGATTTCAAAGAAGCAATGATGGAATTCATAGAGAAGTTAAAAGAGTTGGTTATTGGAGTTTTGCCTGATCAGATAATTTTTGACTTCGAAATATTGTTGAAAAAGGTTAGTTATTCGCCATTTGTCTCTTGATCCATGTAAATAGATTATTATGATCAACAATAATCAGCTGATTTCATAAAAAATGTACATTGGAATTTTAAGTTGAGAATGTATTTGAATATACTTGGGAAGAAAACTGACTATTTATTTTTGCTATTTTTAATTCAAGAGAACAACCACAGTTGCTTGTATACATAATTTCTCGACGAATTTTATGAATGTTGCTTTTCATTCTAGCAATTAAAATCCATGTTTTCCTGGTCGGGTGGGGAAGATCCAAAACCAGATATAACCAAAGCACCGCTAGAAACATCAATCACTAGTGGGGTTTTAGTACCAGCGAGTGCTGTGAAAACGATTGACTTGGACCACACCTATCACAATACAGAAAGTAACCTCAGGACGGAAAAGAATGGGGAAGGCGACACAGAAAGCTTTGACAAAGCATCTGAATTGGAATTAGCACTGGTGAATACAGATTCAAAGTCTTCATCAGAAGATGACAATATATTTGAAAGACTGCTTTGCAAAGAAAAAAGTGTATCAGAAACTCAGGATATTATGCAGGACAATGGCATAAAAGCAGTATCAAGAGTGACGAACGTGGACAGCGCCCACCAGATTGTAGAAGGAGCGGCTACCACAGTCAAAACCGATCTCCCTAATGATGCATACTCTGACGTCACTAGTACCAAGACCGAGTCTTCCGATGCAGATCCAGACCTTGCCGGCTCTTCTCAAAGTGGCGTTGCTATGGATGATGATACCTGTCAAGATGTTGATGCGGAAAATTTGCAAGGGAGAATACGAACAGCCAAACACGTGGGTACAGCTCGTATTATAGGGTCCCTGTTTATCAATCTGGGAGGGTTTGAGTATAATTTGTCTCAAAAGTAGCTATCATAAGACTTGTCAGGCTAATAGTTTTGCGTTCAGCCGACATTTGATCGCTTCAGATATATCAAGTTTTACGCAATACCAACACAATTCTGAGTTATCTTAACTTTATGGGATGAATATTTGCTTTATAGAAGCCTTGCTTAAGAAGTTGGATCGTGGTTACTTCAACGGACTCCACGCAACGGCAATGATTTCATATTAAGTGCCTTGAATCAAAATCTACTGGGCAATTGAATTGATTTGATTTCTTTATTTAGAATGACGACAGAAGATGTCAGCTTTGCAATCAATACGGGGACGACTTCGAAAAGGATGCTGGGAGGATACTCTATGCCGGCAACAATGAATGGGTTCACGTGAACTGCGCGCTTTGGTCTGCAGAAGTCTACGAGAATGATTCGGGACACCTTCAAAACGTCCACAACGCAATAACAAGAGGCCAGCAACTTGTACGTGGATAATTCGGAGTGTTGTTTGTATTCATAATTGTTATTTTTGGAACCTTTTTTCCAGTCTTTGGAACTTTAAATGTCCATTTTTTGATAATACAGGATAAATTTGAGCACCTTTTACTTAGGCTCCCACCAGCAATTAATAGCTCCTTTGGCGTTGGTGCTACCAAAGCTAAGGGAAGATGAGGTGGTTCCGACAATCTCTCTTCTTTTGCGATGGGTGTCCCTATCTTTCTTAAGTGGTAGCAGAGATGGTAACAGGTAACAGTGAAATTATTATGCATATTAGCACAGGTGTTACCCTGCTATTCGTGAACGGCTATCTTGAAAACATGGAATCAAGAAAGCTTGAATCTTGGAATCTTGGAATTTTGGAATCTTGGAATGTGAATAAAAGAAATTTAGGTCTTGTGAGGTAGTACCCTCATTTGATATAAGCCCTCATAACAAAGGCCCCAAACTAATTAAAACTGCATTCGCTAGAATGTTGTTATATAGCTTTCAGAAAACACATTCCAACCTTCCAAATTTCCACATTGTTAATGTTATCAAGATGGATACATAAACTTGAATATGTTTTTTCCTTTCAGCGCTGTTCAACTTGTCGGCAATGGGGGGCTACTGTTGGCTGTTGTGCCACCAGCTGTCAGAGTAATTATCATTTCATGTGTGGAAGGTAAATATAATAACGTTATCCTTCTGCTTTGAGTCTGCTTTGTTTTTATGCTTTGAATGAAAAGGTATATCTAGCTTATCGAGTCCTCAAGAAGAATTTGATGATAGCTTTTTGGCCTTGACACCTTATTACTTTTTACCCGGCCTTTGATCTGTTAGGAAATCCAGGATCCTCTGACATCTTGAATGTATTTGTCAGTTTAACTGCACGAATCTTTCAGAAAACGTAGCACCCTGAACAGGTTTATTTACATTTACTATCTTCTGTTTTAGAAACAGCTCTGTGATCTTTCAAGATAACAAACTAGTGTATTGCGAAAAACATCGGGCGAAGTCAAAAAGTGAGGTAAGAAATTATTTTCAGATGGCAGTTTAGTGTAGAAAAAATCCATTTTTGTGAAGCAGGGCCTAGTCCCTCTGCTCATTGTGATTACAATACAAGTGGCGACTACATTGTGACTACAATTCGTTTTTGTTATTGAATGTTCAGTAATGGCAGAATCTCGAAAACCAGATGGAGGTCTATGGCCTTGTCCCCTGGGCCATCCTCTATCGACGATAAAGACTTGTACAGGTTGTCTTTTTCGTTAGATTATACCAAGGCCTTATGGCATTTTTCGGAACCAAGAATTGTTCCAACAACTCCTTCCTGTATCCAATCAGTCTTTCTGATTTTGTTGACTCCTACATCGCAGGTTCTTCTTGACGGCGAAGGCTTCGTGGTTGCAAGACCTGTGATGGTCGACTTAGCAAAGGTATCAACTCTTAAGAAGTACAATGCTGATCACGATCCAGATTCCGTTAGCCTTTATTCAGGTAACTCGAGATAACTAAGTTGACTGCACCATTTGTCTTTTATTTTATTGGAACAAAATTATTCTGGCAATCCTGTTGAAGAAAGCTTTCCATAAGCCCGCTCAATTAATTCCAATTTTGGCTCTCCTATGAACGTATCATAGTGGCCTACCGGGTCGCTTTTTTTGCTAAATCTATCACTATTATTTGAGGTACAATATAATCATTTTACCAGATTGGGTACATAAGTCCAAAAGATGTGGCCTATTTTTAGACATGAGTTTATTTTAGTATGAGGGCCTATGAAAAATTAATGGAAACAGTACATTTCACACAAGTTTTAAATATGACGTACAGCGTATTTATTCATTTTTCAGCATTTTTAAATGTTTTTTGCATCTTTCCCTTTCTTCGAACATTTACTGGCATCTGACTCTAAAAGATATATTATTTTATTATCTACACGTGGTATTAAAAAGCGCATTACGAACTGTATTACATCTTGGTCGCTTTAAATTGCAGGTTCGTTGATTGTTCAGCGCCTTGGAAGACTAACAGATGCATCAAATAGTGACGACGTTCTGCTACCCATTGGCTTCAGGTAGACATGATGTTTCTGCGGTGCTTTTTTCTATAATCTCACTTATATTTATCAACAGCTCTTCTTCTACACATTTTCAATGATTTCTGATACGACTGCTAATCCCTTTTTTAAAACTCTGTCTTCAGGAAAATACGATTTTTAAAACTCTGTCTTCAGGAAATTACCTTTTTTAAAACCCTGCGTTAAAGAAAATACCTTTTTAAAAACTCTGTCTTCAGGAAATTACCTTTTTTAAAACCCTGCGTTAAAGAAAATACCTTTTTTAAAACTCTGTCTAGTTTATTTTGTATTTGTTTTCTCGGAGTCTCCCCAGTGTTAATGACCTTTGCTTGGAGATTGTGTGTCTAGCAGGTATTCGCTTTATTTCGCTGGATTTTCTGCGGCTATATAACTATTTCTTTGGGAAAATCTCTATGATATGAAGGAAAAAACACCAGATCTTAATATCTCATTGATTAATTTATTTTTCAAGGTATTATAGACCATTCAATATTAACCCTATCTAGGGACATTTTGGGACATTTTGTAACATTGCCCTAAAACATAGCCTGATGACAAGCCCATATATTCTAAAGGATAAATGAGCTGGTTATCAAGCTTAAAACTTTGATATGGCTCAGTTTCCAAGAATATTGATTATGACCATATTTTTTGTTTATCCAAGGGCTACCAGATTGTTTTGGAGCACCAAGGACACCCGGAAACGCTGTAAATATTATTGTACCATTGAAGAGGTGCCTGTAGTTACCAAACCGATTGCGGAGGAGGAAGGAAGGAGCCAGTGTATGAGTGGATGGACCATTTGTCATGTATCTAAGTCAACAAAAAGAAAAGAGAGAGATTTTGAATCGTGGATGAAAACAGTTTAAGAAAAAAGCAAAGACCTGATAATCTTGAACCGTCGAATGGCACAGCGCGTATTGAGACAACAATTAGTTGTACGCAGTCCCAATCTTACGTAGGAAGACCCCTCAAAATCGGAAAGATTCCTCTCCCCGCCAGTGGCCCGAGGCGATCAAATATTTCCAGTCTCGCAAATACAGCACGTTCAAATATGATAGCAACAACATGCACGGTCACTATACCATCATATGCCCCCATTTCTGTTCCTGGAATAAGAACCATTTCACCAAACCCCAAAAGACCCACATACACGAAAACGTCGCCGCAAAAGAACACACCACACAAGATCATACCCCAGCCGAGTTCACAAGTTTCACCCTTTGATTTTCAAGGCAGAAATCAACAGCCTTTCGAAAATGTGACAAAGCCTAGGCTGATACAACCCAAACTTAGGTATGAACTTGTACCAACCATCTTACAGCCGGATTGCACAGGCTCTTCAAAGCGACCAATACTTCCAAAATTTGAGACGCCCGTTGTAGCCATAGCCCAACACCTTCACTACCACCTCAATACAAATCCCCAGATGTTACATTACGTTGGTGACACTACTTTGCAGGGCCTAAACCGAGTTTTAGGATTGACGTATCCGTCTTCTTTGAACCCAGTCCCCCTCCCCGTCAGTTCAAATAGTGCGATGCTGCCGTGTTATACAATGAACTTGCCAGAGGCATTTTGGCACACGCATACAGTTAATGAATCACGTGCTCAGAGACAGCCGTTTCAGGTGCACAGGGGTAATTGCGTTGCAGGCAAACGGAAAAAAGTTGATGCACAGAATCAAACAAAGGATGACGGGGGACAGGAAAAAGGCAACACTGTTGTGCTAGATAAAGCCGAACTCATGAAAAAGATTCATGACTGTGTGAAAGAACGGGTCAATAGTCGAGTACACGAAAATAAGAATATACCTTTAAACAAAGTAACTGAATTTCAATCAGAGAAAAACACAAGTTCTGATAAATCTGTACCTAATAGCAACATATCTTTACAAAATAACCATCAGAATCTATCGCGACTGTCTATTCAGAGTTCATCAGCAACCAGTGAACATGATAAAAACGATTTGAATGGTTCGAGTAGAGAATTGAGGCAATCAAATTCTGGGGATATCAAAAGCTTACCAGCTTTCTCAGAGCTCGTAGAGAAGCTGTCACAAAGCGACGAATCAGGGAATTCCCCCTGTGGTAGCATAGCAGAGGATTCACCGTTATCGTTGAACAATATAACTGAACTCTCGTGCCTACAGGCTGCTGCTCAGTTAGCTAAATTAATGCCAGAAATGTTTAATGAAAAAGAGTTAAGGACAAATGCAATAGAAACAAGTGTTCCACGCCCTGATCAAGTAGTAACTTGTGCAAGTTCGCAGGACACTGTTGCTCCTGACTTGAGATCGGATTCTGAGCCTGAACGGCCTAGTTCGCTCTCGAAATCGTGCTCTGCTGTTCTTGTGAGTAAGAGCACCAATCGTCAGAATCGCAACTGGTATCATGAACAAATGGAAAAGCTGCTTAAAAACAGAAGAGAGACTGCGAAATCCAGTTTGCGCATTCACGTGAAAAATGAAGAGGGTTTGCAGATCAGTGGCAGCTCAGTCCAAGGTAGCTTTGCTTAAAAAATTTTCTCAACACATTTCAAGCCCCAAAAGTAGCTTTGCAAAGGATCATTTGTCGAAAATTTTCAGATCAGTGGCAATTTTATATCATTGAAAATTTTCGCGTTTACATGCATAAAACAGTCCCAGACTTTGATGAGTTCCTGCTTACAGGAACGTACTTTCATAAAAGACCAAATGTTCTTATACAAAATCAATATTGTTTAGTTAGCTCATAACAAGCCATTACGCCAATATTGATAATCACAGCGCTCTTATAAATGCCCGAAACTATGCTGTTACGCTAATATGACACCCCGTTACGCCAACATTCGTAACAGCGCCTCTGACGCATAATTCCTACAATGTTCAGTTACAAGATGTGTTTGAATTTGAAAATTTTTCGCTAAAATTTCACATGTATAAATTTCGTATTGTACAACATGCAACCTAGAATATTTAGTTATGCTCACAAAATGACGTCATGACAAAATGAGCGTACTTACGCCAATTTTATATCATTAAGCCAAAGAAGCCAATTTACAAAAAAACTACTACACAACGCACACTTAGCTCTGCTCTGTCTGCAGGCAGGATAGCACATTGTTCAAAGGCAAAATTAGTAGCCAGGAACATTTCAAACCTTGAAGTTAGGAGTTCTGATTACAAAACTGCGATGAGTATCGCCAGTACTTTCTCAGTGAGAATATCCCCGATAAAAATATTTTATGCAACCCTTTTCGTTGTCTCTGTTTATAAATGATACATTAACATAAAAGTGAATATCAAGTATATAAAAGTGCTCATTTATATATCCTTAACTTTTTAGATATTTGGAAACAGCTTGTTGACCTATTGAACGAAACACGAACCGATCAAAAACTACCAACATTTCTTTTCAACGGTAAGTTTCTGTCTTTTCAAATATTTCGTCATATTAATTTTCTTTTTCTCAATGCACGAATTTGTTTGATCATTAGTTATGAATTTTATAGCTTATCGCATTTTCTGAGAAAAATGTCACCCTTTCAAGAGAGAAATGTTGAATAAATTCTTGAAGCTATTTAATGATGCAATAAGCATTCAGTTTATTTATGATGATTGCAAGTATCTTTTACAGGAAACTTCCTGAAAAGGTTTTAAAGCATGTTTTATTTGCTCTCAGAGACTCAAAAGTATTTTTTATTTGCTCTCACCAAATCTGATCCAACATTTTGGTTCGTGAGCCAATATTTTGGCGCAGTTTAGCCCTTAAAGTACGTTTTATTATTCCCTTTCAGACAGCGAAGCATTCGATTTCTTCGGTTTGTCGAAGTTCCCTGTCGTATTTTTGGCCGAGCAGCTTCCTGGTGGACACAAATGTAGAAGTTATAAGTTCCAGTTTCACCTTCCTTGTACCGTTGACGAGGATAAGGTAAGATTTAATTCTAAGAACTGGTTTTTATTCTTTGTCACAGCAAGTTTTTTTATCAATAATTGACAGATTCTTTGTTGAACATTGTGTGTTTTATTTTAGTCTTTCATGCTCCAAAATGACTTAGGCAAATTATCTTCAATTTTACATTCACATTAAATTTTGATGCTAATTACCCTGTCAAAGCAAGTTTTTGATTGAAAATGGATAATCTTTTGCTGTAATTCGTGTTTTTCACTGCATGATGAAAAGAGTCTGAGACAAATCGTAAAATTGTAAAATGAAAATTTGTCTTAACCTGTATGCCATTAAATGTTCGATACCGTAAAGGCAGGGCTGTACACACTTTTGATGTGAAGAATAGGAAGGCTTGGAGGACATAACAACTAAATAAAATTATAACCGTAGAGAGTAGTTTTAAAAGTGGCCTGTTGATCGCATTAAGTCTATCACTCAGAGTAGCAACTTGCCAATGTCCTGTTCTATACATCAATAGATCAAGACAAATCTTGTACAATTTTAGGAACTTCCTCTCAATCCTCATGGTTGTGCTAGAGCTGAAGCAGTATCAAGGTATTGAATGCTATTTTGTTATCTATATTCAAATGTTAAGTGTATCAAATTATGAAAGAAGTCAAGTTGCATGAATACTGTTTTAATACTTCATGTTTTCACCAGATAAGATACTGGCTTTATAATGTGAATTTTCAAACGTTAGTTAGAAAGGGTTATGTGGTGGTGTAATGAGGCGATGTGGTGAAATTCTGAGTGGTAAAGAGGACTGGCTAGATAATATTATTTGTAGAGATTTCTTCAAAACGAAAACATTTTTTTGTGGTTAACATGGTCTCCAGCTTATATCCGCAGAGACTTTTGATCCAAAAGTCAAGTCTCTGGTTTTTTAAAAAACAAGTCTTGCCTGTGTGTACATACTTTCATTACACTTTATATTATTCTTACATTATGGTTTATAAATATTATTCATATTTGAAACTGCTATTATAATGCTTCTTTTTAGAAAGTACTCGGTATGTCGACAGAAGAAGTAAAATTAGAAGTAGAATAATTCTAACATATGTCCAAAACAATTTTCTTTCCCTTGTTGTTATCCAGTCTAGAACACTTTATGCTTCGTGAGACTGATGTGTTTTAGTCAGTGTTCTGAAAGGGCCATATCGAAGAGCATTCATTCAAAGCCAATATTTTTTTCCATCAGGAGACCGCCTGCAGACATGTTTGCATGGCTAGCATCACCCTACCGAACGCTTCCAAAATGTCTAGATGAACCGGACAATGATGCAGAGATAAACAAAACTGCATCAGATCTGCCTTTGTCGATGCGTTTTAGGCAGCTTAAAAACAGCGTGAAGAATCATGTTGGTGTATATAGGTATGACATTTTTACTGTTCCCTTCAACTTTGCTGTTTTTCGTAAAATTTATTATATCATGAATATTTACGGTAGGCTAGCTGCAAAACTTCGAAATGTTCCCAGAAGGCGGGTCACTACAAGCAGACTAACACTGTAAATGGGGTTCATTGCAAAATTATTCTTGTTTACGTCAAAATTTGTATTGACTTTGAAAATTGATCTTAGTTGAATCAAATAACAGAAAAAACACTCTTGAATCAGCTGTGGGCTATTAACCTTGCTTATTTTGACTTTGATCAAACGTATTAAAGACATTAAATATTTTTATACGCTTGTAATCTAAGGATATATGCTTTGATTTTTCAATCACCTTTAATAAAGTAGTTCTTTAAAGTGATTCTGAAAGTTGTTCTTTATACAAGTCAACTAATTTATTATTTTGATACCAACGTCATCATATTTTTTAGCCGGTGTGTCTGCAGTGTCAAAAATAACGTTAAAATAGTTGCGTATGGATTACTCATACATTTTGTTATTGCACTATGAGGCGAGTAGATACTGTGTATTCTCAGTAAGTTGGGGCTACCCAGAACTATCCGGCAACCATTACATAGAGCTGTTTCTTTTCACAGGTCTCGTATCGACGGAAGAGGGCTTTTCTGTAAGCGTCAAATAGAGGCTGGTGAGATGGTCATTGAATACGCAGGCTCTGTTATTCGTGCTACGTTGACAGACAAGAGGGAGAACTACTACGAGGGAAAGGTAAGTTAAGAAAACTTTACATGGAAGTAGGGCAAAGATGTATTTGAAGTTTCTTCGTGAAAAAGGTCTAAAGTACAAAGCCCTTTTGGGTAAGTGTTATCAAACTGTAATGCACAGTAGAACAGTTTCCAACTTTTAAACAAAGTTCAATGGTAATATGAATTGTGAAATTATGTGCATCTTTTTTAGATCCCTTGTAGATGAAAAGACAGCTCTAAAAACCTTATAATTTCTCTACTTCTAAGACTAAGTCAATTATGCTTTCGCTCTTGACCTGAATTTCCATCAAATAGCCAATCGCCTGAATTTTTCGTGATGTTTGATTCGCAGCCTTGTAATTATGCCTTTCTCTGTTTTTTTCAAAGGGTTATGGATGTTATATGTTCCGAATCGATGATTTATGCGTGGTTGACGCAACTCTGTTTGGCAACGAGGCTCGGTTCATAAATCATTCTTGTGAGGTAAGCCGTATCTATACCCATATGAATGTTAACTAAGCTTTCACTAACAAATCCCCGAATCAAACCCCCTCCCCCCTCCTTCGGAACATTCCCTGTACAATACTGATCTTTGATACTTTACATATTGTATCCCAAACAATTTTTCAAACAGTAACTGTAAAATAGCAAGACTTAATAAAAATATATAAATGGCATAAAAAAACTATCATTTGCAAGGAATAGATGGCTTAATTTTAGAAAATAAGAACAGGCTGTAAAAAGACCGCTTGTTGATATTTTGATTTGTATTCATTGCTTTTGGGGTGAAAGTTGCGTAGCCAGGAAACTTATTCATATGATTGTGTGGGGAGAATGGCACGGAAAGCGCTAGGTTGCTTCTTCTTTTTTACCGCTGACACTGTCCATTGTGTAGAGTTTATCAACAAAAATAATAGTAGTGCCTATTTAAACTGGGAACCAGCGAAGCCCGTCTGACACAAAACTTTTAAAGGTCGCATCCTTTAGAAAAACCCTGGTTATTCGACGTGTGTACGTATACAATTGTTTAATGTGTAAATTTAGATCACTTTGGTCTTTATATTAAAGGTAATAGCCTTTCGCAAGGGGCTACTCAAGGATCAATCCTTAGACCGTTGTTATTCCTAATCATTTTTAACGATCTTTCTGATGTAATTGAAAACTCCAAAGTAATCAAATATGTAGGTTAGAAGCATGATTCCACGAGAATGAACTTATTATGGACCTCAATAAAGGAAAAGCTGAAACTCTTTTGTTTGGAACCACTTAAGAAATAGCAAATGGATCATCAGATTTCAAAGTCGGCATAAACAATAAGGAGATAACCAGCTACAAGTACTTTGGAGTCTCAATTAACAGTACCCTGAATACAAAAAGGTTTTTTGAAAAGTGCTATAAAAAGGCATCATCTCGACTGAGTCTCCTTGCGAAACTACGAGGAGAACTGGATGTTAAAGTAACATTGGCCATATACCAGAGTATGATTTTACCAAAATTCATTCACTGCGGCATCCTTCTGCTCTCTCAATTAGACAAGAACTCAATTAGACAAGCTGGATTCTTTTCACAATAAAGCCGAATAGAAACTCGGTCAACAAAATCACACTGCAGTCTTTGTCCAATGCCAATAAAAAACGATGTTTTATCCTTGTCAGATCATGCCTAGACAATAAAATCATTGATCCTTTCACACACTACTTCCAACTGATTAAACATTCGATTAGGACAAGAAACAGTTCTAAAATAATACGTCTCCCAAAGATAAAAACATGCCAGGAAAAGTTTCTCTTTCACTGGTGCAAAAGAGTACAATATGCTCCCTTTAGAAGCTCGCGAAATGCAAACAACGGATTTTGCTCTATTTTTAAGAAACATTTTAGTTAAAATGCGTGGACACTTTTAATGTAAAATGTTATCGGGTGCATTTTTATTACTGTTTACACTAGGTTGGGTTTTATTCAGGTTACTTTCTAATTTTCACTGGACACACTTTGATAACAGCTTCTCTTAAGTTGAAGTGTTTATTCAGCATAAATATTCGAGATTAATATTATTATTATTTATTAATCAACAAATACTCAAGGGGCTTGAACTATATTTCAATCAAGAATTGACCAATCAGTGAGTGTGATTCCATTGACTGGCGAATAACGATTGACAGATTGCTTAAGCCCCTTTTTTATTTGTCGATTGCCTTTTATCACTGGACATTAGTGTTTTGTTGGTTTTCTTCTACAAGGTGCACCTTAACAGACATCAATGATTTGGTCTTTTAATTTATCTCATGAGATTAGGGACTATTTTCAGCGTTCGATTTCCCATTTGAACTCGTCAGTCACATCACTTTTTGTTTAAAACAAACCAATCAAATGAAGCTGATGATTTGATTAATTTTAAAAACCTTTTGGCAATTGGCTTATCTTTCATATTCTGATTGTATGAAAATACCTCTTAGTCTTAGACAAAAGCTGTTTTAGGCGTTTAGCCCTTTTATATATATGTCAAAATTAATCAGGTATTACTGATAAAGGTTTTTACACTACAGTATTTTTTGGCAATAGCATGTTTTTATTTGTCTTGTAGCCTAACTGTTATTCCCGTATTGTGTCTGTTGATGGAGAAAAACACATCGTAATTTTCGCGTCAAGAAGGTGCGTATAGTTTACATAATTTCCATACACTTTTTCTAATAATTTGTATTCGTGTTATCAGACATCCAGAACATTTTAAAGTAATCTAAAAGTTCTTATAAAAATGTAGCAAAACACTGTTTGTTATCCGAGGGTTTGTATTAATGCTCTGAGAAACTATGTTTATTGAACAGTGTGTTGGTCATAAATAACATGGGCGACACCAGAGGGGGGGGGGGCTGGAGGGCTTCAGCCGCGATAAATCCTTTTTTTGCATAGTGCGATAAATGTGCGAGTGCATAGTGCTTTTAAATGATTCCAAGGTGATGACTGTAAGAAATATTCTGAACTGCAATTTAAGCTAATCTAAAGGACGTGGTCGCAAAAAATGTTCTGCTCGCTCGCAAGGAATCCTCTTCTTTCAGATACTCCTAGAGCCTCCGAAAACCTCTCTCCGCTCCCTTCTAATGTACCGCTAGCATAACGATTGCCCTATGAAATCATAGGCATAAAATAACGTGAACCATTTGCGTTTTTCAAAACTTGGGTTTTTAGTCTAATAATGCTATCAACTCGACCCCTCCCCCCCCCGACTTTGAATTTCTTGACGCCGCCCGTGTATTTATTGATGTTGCAACGCCTAGTTAGTATTTCCCTACATTCAGTCTCTGCAACAAAAATCGGTTCTCTGCAACAAAGAAGCATGTGAACAGTTTTTTTTGCGGTACAAAATTTGAAAATGGCTTTGAAAAAAGCAAACATTTTACGACATACTAAAAGCTTTTTCGTCTGGCACTCCTCAGAGCATAAAACGTCAGAATAAGGTTCCGAAAGAACACGATGGAAAATATATACCCAGTTGTGTCTTGGTATTGTTTTGTATGTGGATACAGGCATCACAAGGTCAACAGTTATTTCATAAGATTCTCATCTTAAGGTCTATTTTAATTATGAATCTAATTGGTGATGCCTTGCGATAGGAGAGTTTTGTAGTGACACATTTTAAGGAGACACTACCTTAAATAAAAACCATATGATTTTTCGGCTGAAATAAGCTCGAAAACTCAAAGAGGTAGTCTTTTCTTTCCCAAGTTTTGTAAGTTCTTTTTCACGAGGATAGGTTCTAGAGTATGGAGTTAAGCAACAGACCCAACCATTAAAAATATCTTGCCTTCAGCACTTATCGTGAATTTTCAAAGTAATCAACTCAATAACTCTAATATGTTTGATATTGTTGCCCTAGATATTTTTGTTTTTGTAACCCAGTGGTTTTTTTGACAATTTTTTTTTCTCATATTACAGAATCTACCCAGGTGAAGAGCTCACTTACGATTACAAATTTCCGTTCGAAGAAGAAAAACTGCCTTGCCACTGCGGATCCAAGAAATGCAGAAAATACCTGAACTGAATGCCATTCAATGCTCCTGAAGTAACGTTCACTGAATGTGCTGTCTTTCAGTCCTGATTTGTGAAATGCATCGTTGTCAAATTTTTAGCTCCAAACGGTTGCAGCATCCTATACCGTGTTTTGATTTTATCGCCAACATAATATAAAGGACATCTTTATGTCGGCGCATTGACTTCGGAAAGCTTAGAAGTATCTACAAAGCCTCCACTTGCATATTTGTCTCTATTGTGTATGATATTTAATTACGCATGTCATGGCCCGAGAATTTCTACTTTCACCTCCAATAGATGTTTTCTTTTATGTTTCTTTTATATGTTTCCTTTTGATACCTCGTGTATTCGTTCTCTTCTTAATCTACCAATGTCACTATTAGTAAAAATGGAAAATCACTGTAAATGTTTTTTTAAGATTCAAAATAACCCACGTCAACCACACTTCGATTTGTGATTGGCCACCGTTGATTGACAGGTTTATTTCGACCAGTCGAATTCCTGGTAGTAAACATGTCAAAGAGCCTAATATCTTGCAACCGTCCTCAGACGTTGCTCCCTAGTATATTATAGACAATGATTTATAAGCAATGTCTCTACAACCGATCTTACGCAAGACTACACACAAATGTTTTTAAATGATGGTTGATGATATTTTGATTGAAACCGTTGATTATTCGAGTAGCATTTGCAATTTCATGTTTGTGAGCCTGTGCCCTTGAAGTTTCACAATTTAATTGCTAAGTATGCTTTCCAGGGTCAATAAATTGATAAAAGCAGATTAGACCTATTCTTCCCGCTAAGACGTGCCCCAAATAAACTATGATATTGAGTTTCCCTGAAAAATGTTCTGGTGGTCAAACAGCAACTTTTTATTTCCCGAGTTAAGTCATATTTCTCATGTTCCTCAAAAATTGTGCGATGCAATAATATTCAATGTGCAAAAGTCAACTTTTCGTAAATTTCCAACTTCGATGTAGTATTTATAAAATTCGCTGAACTTTTTTAAGATTTATGTTCCGTTTTTCCTAGGTAACTGCTTTTCAAATATATTATATTTTATTGTGTATTAGATGTAATTTATGCCATAATAGACTGTATTTATCAAGGTATTAACATTCAATGCATTGGTTTCTGTTGCAATCAAACTATCAATACCATTGTGTCTTTAATAACTTTGCCTATACGGCTTACAGGAAAAGAGTGATGACGTCATAGATGAGTATATTTTCAGAATCTGTTTACAATGATTTTGTTTTTCTAAAATCGCTTTAGCTGTGGATCGATAATGCTTTGCTAGGAATATTTTATCTACCCCTTACCCTCAGCGCTGTGAGTCCCCTCCGTTATAATTGTTTCTGGCTGCCGTAACAAGACAGCAAGAAAGAATAAATGAATTGAGAGACGACACTTTTTGATGTGCCAGTATGTTCGAATTTGTTGTTTTATAATGTCATTGTTTCTCCCATAAATGAATCTCCCTGCTTATTTCCAAAAACCATTCACAGTGCTTCCACTTGGAAGAAAATTTCTATCCAAAAGAAAATTTGGGTTTTTTTGGAAGTAAAAAAGAAGGGAATGAAAAATTGAAGGAACCGTTTTTCAACTTTCTCAACATGTCAATTGCACGCATGCATACTACACTGTTTTGCACATATTGTATGTAAAGCAATCTTCTCGCTGGGCAAAGATGGTTATGGAAAACGATTGCAGTTTTGAGTCGATAATTTTAAGCCCTGTATATCTTTCATCAACATTACACCAACGCAAGTTCTCTGAGGAAACGGGGGATTGGGATTGGAAAGTTAAAAAACATTACAAAAACGTAGAGGCCAGGCGCAAAAACAAAAACATGATTTATTTTATTGTCTAGCGATACGATTAAGGTTTTCACATGAAGAAATAAAAGGATAGATCAACGACAAAATATATTTAATTCACATGTTGGAAGAAATAAGTTGTTTTCGAAGGTATTTATGCTTGTTCGCATGTTAATGTTCAGTGAAATGTTGGAAACGTTTAGCCCAATCACAGTGAAAATAGGCCAACCATGTTGAGCATTGTTCAGCGAAAATGTTGAGAGCGTTTTACCGGGGCTTGGCACAATACACGTGATTAGGAAAAAACGTTTTAACTCCGTCTGGCTTTTTGCTTTGAATCAGAACTCTCATTAGCATTTGCAACCTTGGAGATAAACATCACACTTCACTTTGCATGACGCGAGCTAACCGCCCACTTATGCTCTGAGCAATACTTAAAATCCGAGACAAATTAACTGGACTCGACAAATATCGTTTCAAATTGATCTTGTTGTAATGTTATGAACCTTTATTGTGAAGAAAGTTCTAGAAAATAATGTATCACGATTTTACAGTTCTGTTATTGTCAAAATTCCCCGCTAAATGCAACCACTTTTCCCTTTTCTCAAAGGCCATGACGTCACACTAAGCGTAACGGTGTGGGCATGCGTTTTAGTAACTAACAATGTCATATCTCTCAAAGTGTTCCCAAACAAAATTTCCAACAACAAGCATTTGTTAGAAAGCTCTCATGTTGCAATCTTCTTCATAAAAATCTTTGAATTAAACCTTCTTAATACTATGATAAGATTTTATGATAAGACTAGAAAATTAAAATTTGTCATAGCCAGTGACTGCTAGAGAATTGCATTTAACACCATGTTAGCACATCACATTCAATTGTAAATGTAGCAAACACAACACACAAAATTGGTATGCTTGGGAATTATAATAATGTTTTGTCACAACTTTGGTTCATCTTGTCACAACTAGATTGTCATAAGCAAGGGAAAGGGCATATACTCACCCTACGATGTCTTTATTCATAGGGAAAACCTATGTATTTTTACCTCGATGACCTGGCTTACAAGGGGGGGCTGGGGGGGCTGGAGCCCCCCAATAATTGTCAAACTGTAGTATGTTTCCTTTATAACAGTGTACTGTATGAGACGGAAAACAATGGGCAGCCCCCCAATATGAATTTCGTTCCGACGGCACTGAGATGTCTGGCTTTTTGCAAAAAGAATGAATGAGGGACACAATAAGTTTATCAATTGAAAATAGTTGATCGAAACAAGAAAATTACCTAGCATGTTTGGCCATATTTCTGGGGTGCGCATTGATAACAATGCTTTATCTGCTCACCTTTCTCGGAACTGTATTTCATTTCATAAAAAGGTGCAAGTGTGAATTTGATTCAAATTTTGCAGTTTGTTTAGCTACCTGAAAAATATGACACGATGGCTATTATAGTTCCTCTTATGGCGGTGTTACGCATGTGTTATTGAAGGACAAGGAGAGTTCAGTACATCGAAAGAGGAAGATGACAGTATCTATGCTTTTGTTTTGGAGTAAAAGAATAATTGTCTTGTTATCTTTGGCAGTATTAAGTTGCAATTCAATTGATATGCTTGGAAACTGATGGTACCAGAGGACCTGGACGATTTGCACAACAGTTAGATGAGCAAAACATTGAAGGTACCAGCAAGAATTGTTGGAATAATAGCGCGTTCGAAGGGTAAGTAAAAACAATATCATTTCTGAAATAGACTGACATTATTCCAGTTTTCTTTCAAAATGCTAGATGCTACATTGAATGTTTTGGATGAAGAATTCGTAGGATAAGAGTACAAAACGCATGTTAGGGCCTAGTTGCTCCATAACAATTCAGACCTAGCGTCAGGTATCGGTTGGCGGGTTTACATAATTTCTAGATGACCCAACTTTTCTAAATTTTTTTAGACAGCCAAATTTTGTTTTTGGAGTTAACTATCGATATCGGAAAAAGTGTTGAACAACGGGAACTCTTCTTATGGTTCCGCCAACGACATTAGCTATGCATTTGTTGACATCACTATGGAACTGCGAAAAACGTACTCATGCTTGCAGCTCAGTTTCCCACTTGAATCAGTTTATTTTCAGAACAATTAAGTTAGGCTCTTACTGAAAACTCTGCTTAAGAAGTATCATGTTTCAGTGAAAGTTGTTGTTATTAAAAAACAATGCCTTTGTTCTTTGTGGAACTTTAATTTTTTAAATGCATTTGAAGTGCAAGACAAAAGCAACATTTTTAGGAACTGCCTAGTATTAATTCAATATATAAAGTCCATTAAGCTCTATCAGAAAATGAATTACCTGTTATAAAAAGTTGTTGATGTCACTAAAAGACATCATTCATGTAAAAATCAATGCATTTCATTGCCCTGTTTTTATAAGTGCAGACATGAAATGTGTGACACATTGTTTTTTATATTGAGTCTGCTTGCTATGGATTTTTCTGGGTTCACCCAGCTTAACCTCAAGCAACAAGGCTCTAGTTTAGTTGTTGATTAAAGTCCAGGGTGGTTCATGTTATCATGACTTCATATTTAGTGATAGAGGAACTGTCATTATTTCAGTATTCTACAATAAAATTTTGTGTCACTTTAAGTTAATGGGTAGATATGTATTTTAACAGGATATCCCAACAGAGAGAAAGTTATGTAACTAGAATGAAAGGTTGCACAATGTAGCAATGTCTGTCTGTCAAGATCATGTCAAGATCATGATAAGAAACCTAAGAAAGATAGAGAAAGACAAAATGCCAAATATCTACTATAGGTGAAAGTAAGACTATTGTAACTATACATGCCAAAGTATCATTTTCAAAGAGTTTATTGAGATAAATAGAAAGGAAGCCCTCCTGAACAATTTCTTAAAATGGTTGCACAGAACCTTTAATACCTTCATTTGAAAAGGAGAGCTCAGAAACTCCTAGCTCTACACCGCTACCCTTTTGTCTGAAATCACTCATGATGTGAAGCAATGATGTTAGTGTGATTGCTTGTTTACATGATTATTCTGGAATAAAATGATTGAATGAAATGACAGAAAGAAGGATATAGAATTGGGCTTAATTTTTTTTGTTTTATATTCATAGTAAATCTTGATTTTATCAAATTTTCATTTAATTCTGAATTGCAAGTTTACTCATGATATAACAGTTCTATGTGCTTTCCACAAACCTCCATTGCACCTATCTTTGAAATATATATATTATATATATATATATTATATATATATATATATATATTATTATATATATATTATATTATATATAATATATATATATATATATATATATATATAATCATAAGGCAAATGCTGACAGGAGGAAAATTCTTTCCACAAGGGTGCTGCCCAATTGTATTGAACTACTCTTGGTCGGAATCGAACTCCAGTTTGCTGCGTCGAAAACCCCCGCTCATTCCACTGAGCCAAACGGCCCAATGAAATGAGCGATGAATCTCCGAAGCCAACACTGGAGATCTCACCGTAGCCAAGGCAGTTTTAGTTTCTTCTGTTTCGGCTTGAAGCCTTCATCAGAGCCATTTAAACCATAGATATATAATCATAAGGCAAATGCTGACAGGAGGAAAATTCTTTCCACAAGGGTGCTGCCCAATTGTATTGAACTACTCTTGGTCGGAATCGAACTCCAGTTTGCTGCGTCGAAAACCCCCGCTCATTCCACTGAGCCAAACGGCCCAATGAAATGAGCGATGAATCTCCGAAGCCAACACTGGAGATCTCACCGTAGCCAAGGCAGTTTTAGTTTCTTCTGTTTCGGCTTGAAGCCTTCATCAGAGCCATTTAAACCATAGATATATAATCATAAGGCAAATGCTGACAGGAGGAAAATTCTTTCCACAAGGGTGCTGCCCAATTGTATTGAACTACTCTTGGTCGGAATCGAACTCCAGTTTGCTGCGTCGAAAACCCCCGCTCATTCCACTGAGCCAAACGGCCCAATGAAATGAGCGATGAATCTCCGAAGCCAACACTGGAGATCTCACCGTAGCCAAGGCAGTTTTAGTTTCTTCTGTTTCGGCTTAAAGCCTTCATCAGAGCCATTTAAACCATAGATATATAATCATAAGGCAAATGCTGACAGGAGGAAAATTCTTTCCACAAGGGTGCTGCCCAATTGTATTGAACTACTCTTGGTCGGAATCGAACTCCAGTTTGCTGCGTCGAAAACCCCCGCTCATTCCACTGAGCCAAACGGCCCAATGAAATGAGCGAATATATATATATATATATATTCAAGATTGCGTTGTCTATTCTGACGTGACAGTGCTCGATGTGCAAAAGCACAGAGCAATAGATTAATAAAAAATAGAATATAGACTAGAAATGAGACATGTTCTCTGTTACTCCGAGTTTCGTGCTTGCACACTCATCAGACAGACAGATTATAGTCTGTCTGATGAGTGCGCAAGCATGAAACTCGGAGTAACAGAGAACATGTCTCATTTCTAGTCTATATTCTATTTCTTGTTATATATATATATATATATATATATTTAAAAAATTTTTGAAATATGAACAGCCGATAAAGTGACTAGATAGCACTGTTAGGTGAGCCCTTAAATGCGTTAATTATTTGCAACTACCAGTTCTTTTGAGAAATCACTTGCTAAATTCCAGCTTTTTGTCAGATTTTTGCCAAGTAAGTTTTTTGAAAACATCCTTACAGTTGGTTTTGTTGATCTTTTGTGCAGGTGGTTTTATTGTTGGTTGCTCTATTTGATAGAAAAGTAATTCACATGTGACAAAAAGGTGTTCATACACTTTCTCAGAAATATGCTTACAGAATTAAGTTTCATAAAGTTACCTATATTTGCTTATATTCTAAGAAAAAAGTATGTTAATGTGAAACTTTGCTTTTGGTGTTTTGAATAAAAAATTGTTAAAAGTTGTAAAGTGTTTAGCAAATTTTTGTCATCTTCTGAAAAAATTGTTTTAGTAAATGGTGAAAGATATACCATTTTAAAGATATTAGCAATCATAGATCTTTTTAAATGACAGTGAATTATTCTTGAGAAGTTGTTTTCTTTGAGTTAAAAACAATTTAAGACAGAAATATTAAAAAAATCATTATATTGAGCAATCAAATAAATGGCATTATAATTCTACATCATTTGTATCAATAGGAAAATGAAAGAGGTTGAAGAAAATATAAATTGAGGTATCATAACTATGTAGGTGAAAAGTTTAAAGATTTGATTTAGTTTGACTGAGAGGAAGTCGTCAGAACATTCCATTTTTCAATTCATATTTACAAGGTTTTGTATGCTGCCTTTACTCAACACCCTCCTCCATTGATTTTTTCAGACTAACACCTGGCAAATTTTAAATGTTCATAAGAGACTTAAAAGCTTGATAGGCTAACAATGCAAAGACTTCTCAGTGTTTTTATGTGCATTTGTCATAAGGCTATTTTGTTATAAACTCTTCTTTATAAAAAATGCAAACAAGTTGGTCACAGGGCGCTACTAAATCAAATTGTTGGTGACTTTACTGATTTTATGGATATTATTTTACCAATAATGTTTATTTGCAATAATTTAGTAGCGTGCAAGTTTATAGTCGCTGATATTTAATTGTTTATGCCAAACAATGTATGAAAAAAAGTAAAGTTTGAAACGATTCCTTAACAGAAATTCTTTACTTGAATTATCTAATTTCCTCCCGAAAGTTCTGTTTACTGAAAGATGTTCCACAGAAATTTTTTCTTACGAATTTATTTTTGTATTAGTATTAGATTTGTAAAGTTTATTCTTGTATTAGATTAACTAAATTTCCTTTCTCTTATTCAAGTGATAATTTTTCTAGTACACTCAAGGTTTTTATCCTCCTTTTTCAATCTTAACCATCATCTTTTTGCAGGCTATTAATACATTTGCTGTCAGTTTTCGCGGGCAGTATTAGATTTGCAAAATGAGCTGCTGGCAAGCAGAGGTTATTGAAGCAAACTGAAGTAATCCTTACAGATGGAACGAGACATTCCTAGCTACACTGGCAAAGGCGGTCTTGGAAGTTATCCACAGCACCACCCCTATAATCACTTGTCTCGGCCAACCAGCCTCCCTGTTTTTGACACCACATCTCACCTGGAACATATCTCCCCCTTCCACTCTCCATTTTACCGGCAGGGACACTATGAAAGCTTACTTCGTGGCAAGGAAGAAAGGCGATCAAAATTTATGATTGGAGATCCCTTGTTAGTCAGTCCGACTGCTCATAGCCACCATGCTGGACACCACGTCAGCCCAAGGTTCTACTCTCCGCAGTTTATTGAAGAAACGTCGTACGAGAAGTATGCAACAACACCCCCGTCACCAACGGAATCCAGTAATTATATGGATTCAAAGTTGAGCCAATTTTCTCCTGCACATCTGCATTACAGCCCTATGTTCCCTTTCGATTCCCCCTTTTATGAAAATCGGGGCAGTTATTCACCATTTAGAAGAGAAAGCCCAAAGCCTGTTAAATATTCTCCAATTTCAAATATCAATAGAACGCCTCATAAAGTTATCGCAGAAAGTAACCACTCCCCAATGAAATTATCGCCAAGCTATTTTGATTGCAAAGAAATCCGACCATTAGACTCTCCAGATCGTGTATCTGTCATAGAGGAAATGCGGTGTAGGAGCCAGAATGTCGCAAATCAGCCTGACGTCATATCAGATCGCCATTCTAACGGTATACAGGTGCATCCAGTAAATGACTCCCGTCTTGGTCCTTCGACAAAGGAGAAAATACATCGTGAATTCGCACATAGATTCTTGCTTGAAAATGCCAGGGCTTCTGATAAAACTAAGTTTCATATGCCGTTCTCCAAGGATTTCGAAAGCCTCAGAGCTCAGCTGATGCCCAACGTGGAACAGCCTGCTCAGTCTATTCCATCTCATCATTGTGGAGGAGCAATACGTCGTTCTGTAATTTGCAAGCCTCCCTCAGCTGAAAAGAATGTGACAATTAATGATACGCGCTTCATTCCCCAACAGGTGGCACGGAATGATCGTATGACGGATAATTTTCATGACCACATTGGAGAAAGGCATTCTGACAATTGCAACGGGCCCAGGGTCGATAATTACCATCCTACTCACAACCTATTTGAAAAAGTCTTTAATGTAGGAAGCAGCATTGTTGCTGAGAAAAAACCCACTACCCCTTGCAAATTAGACTTTGATAGAAGGCACGCTTCTAAGGAGAAGGACGAGATTACGAGTTACGGCAGTGAAACCTCTTTAAGGAACGGAGTCAGCCGAATATCATCAACATTGACACCCATTAAAGACCATAAAGCCAAACGGGGAGCTAAAGAAGATACTTACAGTGGTGTTGATATGGATCGAAAATTAATTTCGGCGAAGTTAGCGCCGAATATTCGTGATAATGATCGAGACGAGCTATTAATTATCGAGAGCAGATCTCGTAAAAGCGATACTTCGACAAATGTCGATAAAAAGGAAAGACACGATACACGGAATGCATTTGATATGGTTGATGCAAATATTGACGGGACACGAAAAATATCGGTTGTTCATGACCCGCTGAACGGTTTTGTAGAGACTAAAGCAGATTTAACAAATGACGGAAAATATGTTGCTACTGATCTGCCATGTATGGAAACAGACACAAAACAAGAAAGGAGGAGTAGTTTCGAAGAAAAAAACTTCAGTAACGCCATTTATGATGAACATAACAACAGAAACACTAGGCAAAAGTCTGTAATTGAAAATAATTCAGGAAAGGAATCTATGATTAGTGATGAGCTCATTAATGGTCAGAAATCGCCAAAATCAAAGCTTGAAGAGGAGCGAAATTTTGATGACTTTCAAAAGGACGAAATGTTTAATAATCAAACGGAGAAATGCGAAGATTCTGAAGAGGAGGAGGAAGATTATGACGATGAAAAAGAAGAGGAAGAGAGCGTAGAAGAGATCTCTGAGGATGCGGAGGAGTTTGCTGCTTCTCCAAAAGAAAGTCTTTCGTCAGAGGGGACTGGGAACGATGAAATAACAAATAAACGGGTGCTTTCTAGAGAAGAGCGTGCTATTTTATATGCAATGCAGAAATTCAAAGAAATGGAAGAGAAAAAAACGAGCAAGAAAAGAAAGGGGAAGCCTCCAGACCCACCTGAAAAGAAACGCAAATTGGCCGAATCAAAGGTAATTTTGCAGTTCTTGTTTGTTTTTATGGTGAATGTTGATTTGTTTTTTTGTTATTTTGACTTCAATCATTTATAGCGCTGGTTTAATCTTTTCATGATTATCCAGTTTGTTATAATAATGATTTAGTGAAGTCCCCTGTCGATAAACCCCAGTTTAAAAGGTCAATTCTGAGAGTGATCAGCGCCAACCAGTGCCCCCTCACACAGATCTGCTTGTTTTGTTGAGTTCATGTAAGAACGGTCATCATCATGCCCTTCCCCTCCCCGTCCCACAACTCTTCTTATTTTGTTGATTCCAAGAAAGGTCATCATTGGCATCAGTCTTCGAAATCGATCAGTCACCAAACATCTAATTATCATATTTGATCATCGTCAGTCTTCGTCAATCATCTTCAATCATCGTCAGTCACTGTCAATCATTTTCAATCATCATCATAAGTCATAGTCAATCAATCATCTTTGATCATGGTCAATCATCTTCGATCATCGTCAGTCATCGTTAATCATCTTCAGACATCGTCATAAGTCGTCGTCGATCATTGTCAATTATCTGTGATCATCATCGTCAGTCATCATCAATCATCGTCAATCATCATAATTCATCGTCAATCATCATAATTCATCGTCAATCATCATAATTCATCGTCAATCATCGCCCGTCATCATCAGTCATTTTCAATCATCGTCAATCATCAATCATCGTCAATCATCTTCGACCATCGTCAGTCATCTTTGATCAATGTCAATCATCATCATATGTCATTGTCAATCATCGTCAGTCATCGCCAATCATCATTATCATGGGTGGTGTTTTGTTTTCGTTCTGTGAATTTCCTGTCTATGCCGGTTTCCTGCACTCAAGTCCAAGATCACTGTGGCTAGTTTATTGGCTGCAAATATTAGGTTGTTCCATGTTCATTAACGAGCCACTAAGTGGACAAGCAGATGCTTTAAACGTCTATCGTAACCAATCATGACTCATTACTACTTTTAGGAAGCACTTTTGATAAAGGAAGATATTACTGCAAATGAGATGCGGATAATAAAAAAGAAACGAAAGAAGATCAAGTTAAAGCAGAAAAAAGCATTCCAAGTCTGTGGAAATGTGTTATCGGACGAGACAAACACAAATGAGAAGGAAAGAAAAGACGATGTGATCATTACTAAAAATGTAAATGTGAGTTTATGCATTGATCTTTTATGTTGATTTGTATTCGCTGGTTTATAATTTTCTAAAATTTTGAAAAGTTATGTTTAATAGTCGGTATAACCTTTCGAAGCCAAGACATGCAACTATTGATTTTCATTTTGCTTTTATTTTATTCAAATGCTAGCTCAGGCTATGTCTGAAAAGTTTGGTCAATGATTGAGTACTAGTGTGAAGCTGTTTCGTCTGGGTGTATTTGTTGTAAAGCCATGAATGTGTGTTTACTCTAGTGAACAGGCAGGTTGTATTCTTAAAGCTGACTGTTAATTGACAGGTCGGACTACACTGGTTCTCGCACTTCATCTTTGTTCTTTGTTTGTCTTTTGCTATTCTACCAACAAAAAGGACATAGCCATATGATATTATTTTTACAGATTTTGCAAGATTTGAAAGTACTTCGTGTTTAAAATATTTGGTTGAATAAAGTTTCTCCAACAATCCGTATAAAGCAATACCAATCAAAAATGAGTTCAAAAATTCTTGATCCCTTAATTTTAAAAATATAAGCGTTTAGTAGCTACGAAGTTAAATTCAGGCTTGATAGGAAATAATGCACTCCGTTCTATTTTTTGTTAATTTGAATAGTTCGGGGACACTCCTGTTGGTGAATTCCGCCGCCATGCAGGCTGTGAAGGTGGTTCTTTGACGTCCTCTCGCTCTTTCGACGTTGGTGTATGCAGTTAATATGAATTCCTCTTACTTCTTTTCTCTGACAATATGACCTAGGAATCTAAGTTGCCTTGTCTTTATGTACTTTAAAAGTTCCGGCCTCTGTCCAGCCTTTGCCCATACTGCTTCGTTAGATGTGTGGCCAGTGTATCAATGTCTAAAAGCTCGAGAGTACTGTAATGATACTTGGTTTGAAAAGCGCACACTAGAATCTACTTAGGGCCTGTTTATAGGAGCAATTTTGGACCACCTTTCAGCCCATAATCTGGCAGGTGGGATGAAATCATCGAATGTTTACATGCAAATTCTATCCCACCTTCTAGCTGTATATGGAGGAAATCATCCCACGTTCTAGCCTGTGTGCTGACACCTTGGACGAAATTTTATCGCGTTATATGAACATTTCATCCCATCTTCTAGCTTCATCCCACTTTCCTTCGTTTATATGGAAAGATTCATCCCACCTCAGTGAGATCCACCTTTTATGCAGTGGGATCTCACTTAACCGAGCTGGCTTGTTTTCCATTTAAACGCAAGAAGAAAACCACAAAGGATTCTATAGAAGAGTAGGATCTCACCTCTCAGCTCACGGGCTGGGAGGTGGGATGATTTTTCCTATATACACTCATTTTTTTATAAGAAACAAAGGTCGATGTTAAGTACTCCAGTTTCTTAATGTTTTGGAAATTTCAATACTCACTGTTTCTTGAGAGTTTCTTAATTATGATTTCATATGAATGGTGTTATGAAATGTTCGTGACCTTTTTTCACATCAAGAGATTCGCTTCCGTTCTGGCGCTGTATTTAGAAGTGGAAAGTATATTTTTATCCCTTGTGTTTTAATTTCTAAGCCTCCAGAGCAATCATGTTCTTGGATTGTACCAAATTTCGTTCTTCTCAGTTTTATGACGATTTAATAGTTTCTTAATTTTTTTGCTTCGAGTACTGAAGTTTCTTAATTTTTCTGACTGTCCAGTACTCGTTTCTTATAGCCAGTTTCTTATAAAAAATGAGTGTAAACAGGCTCTTGAATTCTCAAATGAAAAAAATTGGTTATGGCTCTGGCCTAGATAATGGCAACAAAGACATGGTTTAGTTAAATTTGAGTGGAAGTTTCACGAATCATTGAATTCAAGCGTTCAAAAACTCTGACAATAGATTTTAAATCCTAAATTAAAAAATCAAAAAGGTTAGGCAGTTTTGCTCAAGTATGTGTATAGAGTGTACTTTAATATGACACAGGAAAGGTTATATCATTCAGCTGTAAAATGTCTTTTACATTCCAAATAGGCCTAGACTACAAAGATGGTTTCAGTTATGAGTTTAGATATTTCCGATCTCTATATTGTCCTGAAATTATCCCCTATGTCCGTTTTTATTTAATACTGTACAAGTGTAACTGAAAAAGGACGAGTTTTTTTATAAGATGCACTCCAAATTTATTCAGAAATGCCAATCCTTATCGAATAGCTATGTCATCTTTGTTCGAAATGATGAATTGTTTTGAATTTCACAGTTTTATCTTTACCAAAGCCATAATTTACACGTTCAATTAAAGCCCTTTCCACGTACTGATTACAAGTAACAACCAGATATGATTCTGACCAAATTATTATTGATACATTGACAAAGCACAGTTACGAATCGGACGACCGTTATCTCTTTTCAACTATGTGTAAGTAAATTAAAAAACACAGTTTATCATGGGGATTGATCTAAATTTTCCCAGTTGGTGGTAAACGAATTCTCAAATGTTATGAAACGAATTGATTGAGATTGTGATTACTTTTCACAGAGCAAAAGTAAAAGTCAACATAAAAGACTAAAGAAACATTTACGGAAAGGTATCTATAGATCTTTTTACATTCTTAGAAACCAAAGAAAACAAAATTTACATCGATGAATCCTTATCAAGAGTTATAAATCGGATTGCAAGCAATTGCTTGAAAAACGTCATTCAGGATTATGTTAATCATTTTTTATAGACAAGAGATAAGCACAAGAGATAGTTTGTAGGGAGAGAATTGGAAGGAAAGAAGAAAAAGGCTGAAATTTTTAATCAAAATGCAAAGGTTAATTTTTTTCCAAAGTTCCTCTTAGGATATCTCAATTTTATTGCTAATCCCACTGATGAAAAACCATTTCCTTCAAGGTGAACAGAAAATGAAGAAATTAAAGTTTGATCATGACAAAAAACAGCAAGCACCGAAGGAAACTAAACTTGCACAGAAAGATGGTGACGGTGAACTCACGAAAGAACATGAGGTACTTCGAGCAGTTAGGCACAAAAACTCTTAAATTTTTTTGCCTCAAAGTAACTATATCAGCAATACACTGTTAACGCGACATTAGAAAATATGAAATTTTATTTCACTCGACTTTCCATCAGAGATGTTTATCTCATTTTGCTTTTCGTTACAATTGATTTTTCCAAAATAGAACGGACTTTCTAAGTAAAATTGACACCAAAAATTGTCGCGAATAGAAGGCAGACTTGATTATATGGGAAATTATCCCCTTTAAATAGGATAATTTATATTTCAAGTCATCCTGATAGTGACTTGATTTGATTGTGATTGGATAGGGAAAATTTTCCATCTAGGCGGGCAAATTAAACCCATCCAGAAAACAGACGTCTATCTTGCAAGGTTAAAGGCGTATCCTCTCACTTACAAAGGTTTGATTGTGGTGTACCTCAAGGCTCATGTCTTGGTCCACTCCTTTTCAGATTTATGTAAACGATCTCCCAGTGACTCTTTGGAGATGCAGTACGACAATGTATGCTGATAGAAGATGGATTTGCATTAAAAAGACTTTCCATTTCTTGTCCCATTTCTTGACTTCCTCATTAAAAGCACCTCCATTTTTATTTTAGACTGCTGCCGAGAAAGAAGGATTGCATGGCAGGACGGGTAAGTACCGATACACAACTTTATCTGCTGCGTTGTGACTTACCAAAGTTACAGTAATTTTTAATGGATACCAGTTTAGTAGGGGTTTTCAGTGGAATCGTGATCAAAAAATTCTCAGTCATTATCCTCACCTTCTTGATTAATCATAATTAGTCATCATCATCAATCATCGCAATATAACATATAGGTCATCACCATCATCATAACTACAATCATCGTTGTTATCATTTTATTCATCGTTTGATCACCCAAATCAATGAATCAGTCAGCCAATCACCGCTAATCATTTCACCAATGAAATTGTTTTGTTGAAGAACACAAATTAAAAAGACACGTTTGATTCTCCCGAAAACGCTGTGTGTTCATTTTTTACTGTGAAGGATTATCCTAAGAAAGCTTTCAAGTCTGAAATTTGTCACTTATGTTGAACAAATTATGCTCAAAGGCAGTATGAAGTTTATGCATAAAGAATTTATGTTGAAAAAAATTAGCAAAAAGTTATAAAAATGATTGCCTCTACAGCCTTTATTACGTAGGGATATTAAATTAATTGACAAGTTTTCGCAGAGTAGGGAAAACAAGTGGCTGCTTTTGTAGTCTTCGGAAGCTCATATCTACTGTTAAAAAAACAATACAACCCTATCTACTATAATGTCATTATGCAACCCCCGGCTGCAACATTATCGAGTCGCCCTTTCTAGTGCCGAATTCATTTATTTGATCGGCATGCCTTCTGCCCCCGTGTACCCTTTTTATCTGCCATGAATTCAGAGTTTAATCTTAAATATATCCAAACTCATTGGAAGCTTGTGGATATAAACAACTGTGTTTGGAAAATATCAACAGCGTCTTTACATTTAATCGAATTCCGGGAACCTGCTTCTATTGTCAATGCTGTTATGAGTGTATTATGTACCCGGTTGTCGTACACCCTAGCTGCGAATTGATTACGAAGTCGTGCACAAAATAGTCTACAGTCTTCAGGAATTCCTATGAGCTATTTCGAAATTTTCTACTAATTCACAGGTAGGAAATAGATTTATTGTGAAAGTCAGTAAATTTTCATGATTTTTACTTCAAGCAAACGATGTGTTATTGCTTAAAGAAATATATCTTCGGCATGAATGATTTCAATAAATGTACTGCCGAGCAAGGATTTCGAGAAATGATTTACGTTTTGAGGATTTTAAGAAATAACTTGATAGGCTACTACAGCTTCTTGCACGAGCTGCTAAAAACAGGGAAATAACAAGATGGAGAACAAGGTCGTTGTTTTTGTTGTGATTGGTTGGGGGAAACCGTTCATGTCCTATGAAAACCCTTTGCTCAATTTGCCTCCTTATTACTCTAGTCTAATATGTAGATTAGTCTTACGTCAAGTGAATAATGTTATCAGAAAATGAAAATTTTTGTTCGTGACCTCGTGGCCACATAGCCTCTATCAGTGATTGACAGAATCAGCCAATTTAATACGAAGAATATTGATAAGATATTTTACGTTTTTTCCCAAGATAGTAGATTTTAAGTATTGGCTACCTATTTTGAAACGCCAGCAGCATATTCGTACCCTCAAAGTATTATGCTAACTTTGGTTCTTTCTATAAATAATTTACATATAAAGTTGTTCAAAATCTTCGGTCTTAAAATTCGGGAATCATAGAATTATCTTTTTAACATGTAGAACTTAAGGGATTTTGAGATAGTACATTAAAAGCTGCTGGATCAAATAAGTGAATGAGAAAAGCAAGAGACTCGTGACAACAGCCTAGTGAATCAGATATTAAACTATGGACCTAAGAGCGAAAAGACTGCATGCATTTCCAATTGGCTTTAGAAAGAGAGCATGGAAAGGGATATATTTAGGATATGAAATGATTTCGCCACATTTGGAGTGACATCTATCAACCTTTCAGCTCCATCTATCTTCCAAAATATCGGGGTTGTTCAGAGAGCTTTAATGATAGTAAACCAGCAACACGTGAACTTTTAATAGTAGCCAGTTTAACTCAGCCACAAATCTCCAAGCAACGTTTGATGCTGGTACAACAGTGGTAAATTGTGATAGGTCCCAGTGTCGTAGTATGTATTTTTAAACACCGTGCAGGATCAATGAGAATTAGATTTGGTGGGACATTAAGATTATAATTCTGCTCCGTTTTAGAGCAAAATTATAATTCTTTTTGTGTAAGTTATATTTATATTGTTTCTAGCAACTTGAGCACTACAATTCTAAACAAATTTGTGGAGACAAAATGCAGTTTTTCAAATTTCCCACTTTACGTTGCCCCTGTCAATTCGACCCCCCATTTCCCCAAATCAAGGTTGGATAATTAGTTCTACCATTGTGCTTCAAAAACGTGCATTCAGCATTGGATCGGGAAAAGGGGAAATTTGTTTTTGGAAGGAAAGAGAACTTCTTTATGAATCTTTTCTTGAAACATCAACTTTTCTTAAAGTCTCAACTATTTTTGCAGGGATTCTAGTAGTTTAGCAGCTCAAAATAACTGCGAATTTTGTTTCAAGCCTCTTTCAAAGACGTTTTAGAGTAGCTTCTCTGCTCCTTTAGTAAACCATATTATAGTGTATGTCCATAAATAAAACACACGTGGATGCGATAATTATTTAATTTATGATCCATTGACACTGTAATATAAGTTATTGCATTCAAGAACATTCAATTATGATAACATGCAATACTGCATTTTATAAGCAAATCCAAGGTATGAGGAATATCAAAAACGTTTTTGTTCTCATCAACAAAGCTTTTCATACACCTGACCTATTTCTTCAGAGGCAAGACTTCAGATAATTCCAGATCATTTGCTTATAAAGATGCAGTTTAATATTCAACATTGATAGTATTTACAAATAGTTTAGGCCCTAAAAAATTTTACAACAAAATGTTAATTACGGATCGTATCAAGACGTTTTCCAAATCTAAAGGAACGCTTAGTGGTTGCGGTTTGAAAATCTACAGGAACTTTCTTTGATTTTTTTTCCACCTTGGGTCATGGATTAGGGGTCCTCTCTTCCTTGAATCAAGAAAGCTACCGAGAAGTCTAACTAATTAAGATTATGCCTTGTAAAGCCAAGATATATTTATCATTCATGTCTTTAAAGAAACAGGGTGCAAGCTGGAAATAATTTGAGATAAATTTGCTTGGAAGCGATGTCCTTCTGCTACCCTTTTACAACGTGTCAAACAATTCGCTGTTTTTTGTTGCTATAGAAACGTAACGATGGAACAGTAATTGTTGACCTTTTAAAAAAAGTTTTTTCACCTGCCTTGGGAGACGAAGGAGCCCTTTAACGTCATAACTACTATTAGACATAGCTTTGCCTTAAAATCTAATTGCTAAAATTGATTGAATAAATACTAATCGAATGATTTTTGAAAGTACAATACTTGCCAATAATGCAGAGATATTCACAACAAACGAAGTTGCTTATCACCCCCCCCCCCCCACCATTAGTCAATGCTGTGATGGGGCAGTGTTTGCTTCCCTTCTTATGCAGTAGCAGTCTCATCAAACATTAAACTCGGGGAGGGGGGAGGGGGATAAGGTCAGCTATGCCTTTACATTTGGTTTAACTGTTCGTTGAAAGCTCTCATCTGTTTTGGGCCTCATTGTAGTTGTTTTTAAAATCGTTGACCAGGAGTTGGCTTATTTTCGTAGTACTTGCCTTTACTTGCCTTATTGCTCAGTGCAAAGTACAAGGTACCAGGACACTGAAATCAAAGCGTTTGAGAAGGGCCTGTGTAATCTTTATGGTTAGTTCGGGTATGGAACATCTGTGTTGTTTTCGTATTGCTACCGTGCTAAAAGAAGGTGTAAAGTTTATTAAAATAACCAATCTCATACTGTTTAGAACTCCATCATCTTTTTCGACATATTTATGTACTTTAATGTGCTGTTAGTATTTCCTTGTTCCGTAAAATGAAGGTAGCAGCAAGAGGGATAAGGCCAGTTTTACCTTTGTCTTGATTGGAAGATATTTTTTTTAAAATTGGTAAGTCAAGAGGTATCTAGTGAACTCTTGGGGTCTTGGTTGTGTTGAGGAAAAATATTGGAAGGAACTTTCTAAGCCTTTTCAATTTGGTGAAGATTTTGAGTTATAATTGATGCGCAAAGCTTCGGTGAAGTAGAGATTTGGATTATCAATTGACCCAAAAACCTTTGGGCATACTGGAGCAAGGGGTTTCATTGCATGGGTAATTAAAATAAGAAGAAACGATGCTAGTTTACCTGAGCTATTACATCTCTTGGAGGTGGGATGTTTTGTGGGTGGGTCTGCAGGTTAATGAAAGCGAATCCGGGAAATAAATAATAGTTTTAAAATTCAGCAAGAATGTCACATTTTACATTATACGGCAAAGTTACTCTCTAACATCTAAAGTTTGCTTAATGAAATTAATTCTGAAGTAAACCGTTCTGTAGGCAGGTTGCATAGAAAACTTGTTGATTGAGTTGCTTTCGAAAGTTAGTAGTTTTTTAAATCTGAAGCTTACTAACTGTGACATGATGTACAGTGGACATGGAGTAGTGTTAATTGGAGCTTCATAGTGGAGTCATTTACTGTAGCTATAGCAAGGGGTGGGTAACTGTTAAAAATTGAACGGACTATAGGTATATTCATTTATCTACCAGATACGTCATCATGTCAGATGAATGTGATATAATTCATGTAGTAGAAGTAGTAGGCCTGCTTTGGTAGTAGACTTAGTTATAATACCAAGAATTTCGTACCTTGAAGCCGTCTTGCTGAACACCTGCCAGCTATACGTTTCGCGCAAAGGATCAACGTAGAGCCTTTGTTGTGAAGACTTTCTACCTGCTTATCTACCTGCTTCTTAACAACACTCGAACTATTAACAAACGTCACGGAGTAAAATGTTTGTTTTGCTACGAATTCAGTCCAGACTTCTGAATCTTTATTCTTAATAATGCTGTATTCATATTACAAGTCTCATTTGCCTATTATAAATTCATTTGTTATGG